ATGATATATTTTATGGCATGTGCTTTAACGTGCTTGCATGTCATCACATAATCATTTCTAACTTCACAAAAACTTTCAATTGAAAATTAAAAATTTATTGAAATAACGATACATAGAACCGTTGCTGACAATAGTTACACGTAGCTATTGTCAAAATGATTTAAATAAAGCGTAGCAGCAAAAAGCTTGATTTTCTTCTTATTGGAAATAACTTTCCAAGCTATGTTATTGTTGTTCCATATTGATATTAAAGCCTTCTAGTATTTACTAATTTGTGCGAAATTCCACTTTCAAAAAATGAACAAGTTTTTGTCAAAAGTGCTTGATTTTTCATTTCATAAATGTATAAATAAACTGTCTTTTTGAAAAATAGCTTTTTTTGATTCATAGGTGATATTAAAAGTACTTCCACTTCCACTAAAGAAATCTTTTGCTGACTCTTTCATTATGATTTCGATCAAAAGTAAGCAGTAGAATGAAAAAATCGTAAACAGTTCTATTCCTTATTTTATTGAATAAAATAAAGATCATTCTCTATTATCGAATAGCAACATAACTCTTGGAACAATCTCGAAAATTAAGACATCACAATAAAGACAACACATAACAACAAAGCGCAACACTATACTTTTCACGAATCTTGTATGCACTAGGAATTGGTACTTGGAAACAAAATTGATTTTCAAAATACCATTTCAAAATTTTCATATTTTCCTTTAGAAATTTTTCGTGAAAGATACTTTTACATTTATATCTCCATCAAAATGTCATTAATTACGGATTCTTTTGAGTAAGAATTTTTTTGAGAGAAAAGATTTGAATCATAAATGCATAATCAGTAGCGTTTCTACGAAAAGGGAATTTTCAGTTACTTTGCTAAGACAGTCTTTAAGTTTTGTGATACATACAAAATGAATTACAATTACAAGATTTTCTAATTGGATAGGATATTTGTTTTTGGTTTTTGATTTCTGCTAGAAACAAAAATTTATTTCTACGTGGAACATAAGTAGATAAGTCAATAACATTTTTTAAAAACAAATATCAAATTTTAACAAATTTTGTGGGCTGTTTTGGACTTATTGAATGCTGTAAAATTAGTTAGAATTAAAATCTTCAATAAATGATTTTATTTGAATTAAATTCGATGAAGTTTCCAACCTCAGTTCAGTGAAGTTATTAACAAGCTTGAATATTTTTTAAAATAATTGAGTGAAGTTGTTAACAAGCTTGAATATGTTTTAATATAGTTCATAATCCAAACGCTATTAATCATTTATAATTTGCAAAGATTCAGTAATAAAAGTTTCAGTCAGACCGTAGACCTGTTGGTTGAATAATTGGCTTCATAGCAATTACTGTTTTTCAATCAATGAGTAACAGCCAGTTTGTGTATATGAATGAAGCATCAATAGAAATAAATTGTTGTTGACATATTATATTATGCAATGAAATTTTGTTTGTGATATCACAAATACAATAGATTGTACTTTAAAAATCGAATCACAAATTGGGAATATCATTTGCTACTTTAACTTCTCTTTAGAAAAATTCGAACAATTTTATAAAATTCACAACGGAATGTTTTAACGCAAAAATTCAAGCATAACAAATTACTTCTTTCATAACAAAAATAAAGTGACTATAAAACCTTTTCAAGGGTATAATTTTAATTAGTACGTAATTTATAAAACATATTTCGTTAGCTTACTCATGATTTTTGTATATAAGAAACTAATTATAACAGGTTATAACAGGATTGCTTAAATTGAAGTACAAAAGTTCTCATCAAATTGCTACGACAAAGATTTATTGTTAGATTTTGGATCTATTTAATCCTCACAATCTATCCAGCAGTCATTCTCTTCGCCAACTGAAAATTAATTACTATGATAAATTTACGACAGAATAAAAAAAGACAACCATTAAATTGACTTATCATCAACCTCAAATTAAATTTGATATCTTTAACCACTCTTTTGTCAATATAACAAATAATTCATTAAAATGTGGGCTTAATTCTGCTCATTTCAAAGCACAATTTTCCACAATTGGAATCTAATGAAATTTGGCATATTAGCTAACAATAATATACTGAAAGTCGATATGTTTCGTGGAAGTTCATTGACCGACAAATGAATTTGGTACTGATGGGAGAAGAAGAAATAAGTGTCCACATTTGTCATCTTCGCTAAACAACATGTGAAGTTTGAGGGACGAAAGGATTAGAATGAAAAGATGAGAAATAAATGGAGGTTATAACAGCTGATAATTCAACCTTGAAGAATTTCCAATAACTGTCCTCAACATCGCCATCATTGTACTCTTACTGACATTATTAAATCGATGCAATCAATTGTCGCAGTCTTTATTTTTATTGATATTATCAGCAACAACAATAACACATCATATAAGCTCTGCAGAATGATAACAAAGCGTTATTATGCTATGAACGAAAAAATATTCAATTCAATGTTTGCCTAAGTCATTTAACAAACTACGTGAAATTAGAACCACTTCTATTTACTCTTCACAAGAACGCACCAATAGTTGTTCGTTTCAATTAAAGAGTAAGATGACAATTTTTAGCAAATGTTTCTATGAAGCTTTCAAGAGATTAGATAATGAAAAGAAAGTGAACATAACCAAAAAATACAGAATTCCTGACATCCCATTTATCGTTTACAAATCAGAAAGATGAAATGTCTAGAATTCACTTGTTAATGAAAAAAAAAAAAAAAAAAAACCACTAATGAAATGAATATATTTAGTAGATGCTTTCCGATATGCTTGTGATGTATTCAAATTCTTGTTACAGTTTCATCACTTCCTGAAGCAGGCGCAAAATATCCATATCAGGAGGTTATGATTGCAATATAATTTGAGTTACTAGAGTCCACCACTCCTCTGCAATCTTTTTCTCAATTCTGTCATACATTTTTCTGCATTCAGACATAAAGTTCAGATTCTCTGCGATTTGTGAATAGTACACAAATCAGCAGAATTCTTCCGGGAACCACTTTTCCGCTCTACATGCTGAGTCTTTCCTCACTGCAGTCATTGTCACCAATAACAATTATTCTCTGTCTAATTAACTCTGCACAGCCCACAAACCCGAAAACTTATTGGATTTGGTCCTTGATGAATTCAAGTCCTTCATGATTTCCAAAATTTTGCACCTTCTAATCTCCGAAAATCGATGTTCTTTCTCAGTTTTCCGAATAAGCGAGAATTTTGATTTCCGATTGGCGATCACCAGTGCTGTTCGGCTTGATTCAGATTATATACGGACAAGGTATAAACCTACCTTAGAAGAGTGTACCCAAAAAATAATAAAGGTCTTTACGTTGTAGATGAACGACCTTGGAAGAGCCAACACAGCAGATTACCAAATCCGATCTCACGACAATATCGCCAATCAAGATTCTCTACATTACTGTCCAATTTTTTCATTTCCTGTTGTATTCCCACTTTTTCTCCTCTTTCTCTTCTAATCAATTCATATACATCATAAACATAGTACACTCACTCACTTGTTGACTATCATGTCGTTCGCATTCACTTTCTCTCTTGACCGCTCATTTATACTTCGTCCATTTCTTGCATTTCCGGTTTCTTTGTCTTCTTCAGTCTGTGCGACAGGATGGATGATCTCTCCTAGAGCTTCTGACCGGATGCATCAATTAACGTCAATTTTGATTAGAGCTTCTTTACAAGAAAGGAAGTGATACTTCAAATTGCTTCCCTCTCCACTCTATTTAAGACCTTGTTCATTTCAAAGAGGACGGAATTGTCGTTCGTCTTTTTCCGCCTATTCCGCAAAGAACTTTTGATCGAGCGTGAGCGGATAGTTTTCATTTCTGCTACAAAACAAACCATTTCATATTAATCCGCTCGTAAGCGTAAATCAGTTATGAAATGTCATTGACGCAGAGATAAAGATAATGGATTCATTTCTCTCGCGACGCTTCGAGATGTTAATGTATCTGAGAACGCCAGTAAGACGAAAAAAATGAACAGGTAGATATGACGAAGGAAAAAGTTCAGGAATACCTTGGAAAAACTTGTCACTTAGAAATTTCAATTTTTATGTGCTCGTTTACTCGAAGAATTTTTAATTACCGTGTTTAAAATCGAAGCAAAGGAGAAACGAAACTTGAGCTAACGCCTTACGCAAATAAATCAAAAACTCCAAGTAGTCGTCATTAAAAAAAATCTATGCCAACAACTACCGGAAAACTTTCTTAAAGTGATGAATAAAACAGCTAACTTTTACTCAAATCAATTTTCAAATTGCATGACGACTTGTGGATTTTATGCATCAACGGTATATACCAAATGTTATCAATAATGTGAATAAATATTTCAATATATTGAAATTTTGTCGTTTCGTTCTCTTCTTCCGTTTGTCTTGTTAATAATTTTTAAATATGATTTTTGTGCAAGAATTTGGGAAACGATGATCACTTCGCTTGATTTAAAGTGTAGTCGACCTCAGTTCTTTTGGAAGATGAAAGGAAAGAAAAAAAAACTTCTGATAAATATCATTAATAGTGCAAGCATCTTTTAACTATATGTTCTAAACATTACAAAAACATTGATTTTTTATCTTCACTTCATGAAGTTCAATTAATATTACAATTAATTTGGTCACACTTTGAACTTCAAAACAACTATTAACAATTATTAGGTCATCATATCTCGTAATAAACTTATAATTCAATTCTTAATTCTTTCATATTGCGAAAGAAGGAAATGTGGGCCATTTTTCTGAAATCGAGAATGACGAAGAATGGAATGAAAGGTAGAGAAAGAAACGCTGAACCAACTTAACAATATCCCTTTGTAAATGCTCCGACGTTGTTTGCATCTGCTACTATCAGCTGTCCAACGTAGTAGAACAAGTTGTCATCAGCATGTCACATTATATTTTTTATTACTTCGTCGTCTTCGCCTCCTATTTAATAATACCTGGATTAAATTTGCTGTTGCAGACGGAAATGGCTAAATTATGCCCAAAGGAGAAAGCTTTTTGCTTAACAAAAGCTTTACAGGTACTGCACTGTATTATAACCCTACATTGAAAATTGATTAAATTCAACTATCAATTGATACTACTCATCCCATATCACACTTATTATCCTTCTAATCAATGCACAGATAATTTTACATTTTCTCAATTGAAGTAAAGATGAATGAGAAAAAAATTTCATTTTTTTACTATTCTCTAATATTATATAGATGAGAGATGATCAACTTGAAACTGTGTTTAAACGCCTTCTGTTAATTTTTGTGTATTAATTAAAATGCCACCAGTAATTGATACATGATGGCGAATTGTCTTTATAGCGGCATTATAGGGTCAGTGCTACGGTAACAGCATAAAAGCAGAAACTTTGAAGCGAACGTGTCCATGTGCTTGTGACGTTGCACATTTCGATCGAATTCAGTCATGTTGCAAGACGGTCGGTCGACGAGAAATGGAATTTTGCTTGCCGCTATGTAGATATAATACTACTTTAAATGAGGTAACTCTTAATTGCTAATAAATTCGCAGAAAATCTTTTGTACAATTGATTCAATTGATGACATAAGCAATAATTGGAAATATTCTTGAAAGACAAAGACACTCCTTGAGATGTTCGTTGACAATCACATTAGCTGCAGTTAGACAACCGTTTATTCATCTTTCCAACTCTTATTCATATCAAACCAACTTTCTCCTTAATAACACCGCGAAGACAAGACTTAAGGTCACATGACATATTTAGGAAGTGTTAAAACTTCATTGATGGAATTTGTATTCATGGCGGTTATTTGGTACAGAGATCCCTTCACTATGAGCTTTACTCACTAAAGTTCTAATTAAGTGTAATTAAGTATAGCGTAAAATGATAGCGTAAAATGACAATTTAGCCTAACGATATGGGATAAATCACAAATATAATAGAAAGTAAGTGACTACAACAACAAAGTTGAAGAAATTTCTAGCTGAATACGAGTTTGGGCTACAAATGTGTCTCGCAACTAACTACATGGGCTTATTGCGCTGCTGATGTCAGGGATAATACGGCATGTTGCACGCAGAAAGGTGATTCCTTTCTTGCTATTTACTGTATGAATTATAAAATACGGGTAACTGTTGAAGACCGATACATCATTACTCATTAATGACTATTGAATTATTTTCAAAAATTTCTTCTTAACTTCGTCTCTTCTGAAAAAATTCTTCTTCGATACCCTTATGTGCAAAAATTTAACCAGAATATGCTAAATTGATCTGAAAGTCCTAAGCTAACTAGTCAGAGGATTTTAGAATGAGATAGGTAATCAATCGATTAATCTTCGAATGAAAGATTTTAAATCAAAATAACAAACAGCTCATATCTTAAATCGAATAATGTTCTTTCATTCTGTTAATAAAAATAATAAAAGTGCCCTTTATCAAGGAAATGTGAATCTTTATAAAACCTTTCTATGATTTAATCCAAATGTTGGAATTGTGGCCGTGATGTCACTCATTAAAAAAAAATTGTCGATATTCAAACGTTTTAAAGCATGGTTGAGTAATTAAGTAAAATCATTGAAGGCATCGCCCCAGATTGTTTGAGCTTTTGCAAGGGTGACGTGCCAACATGCGACTTGCAAAGCCTTTTCACATATCAACCTTGCCTGAGATATATCGAAACGATCACTCATTGTCATGTTAGCTCTTTCAAAAATTCTTAGTTGGAGCCTTAGTGGCGGTATTATATTACGATCATTTTGATTTCGCTGCACTTATTACAACTTCATTTTGCATTTCAGATGGAAAATTTGCTCTCAGCTCCGCGATGGGACCCAAATTGGGCAGCTCGCTGTGATTGGGATGAAAGTGATTGAACGATTCCTCGGGAACAAATTTCAGTGGTGTTATTACCAAATACTATTACTTTAATTATTTCAAAATTAATTACTACTGTGGAGAAATTAGTCTTTTAAAGACAAGAATATAGACAGAATCGGCCGATTGAAGAATGTTTTTACGAGGAATTGTCTAATAATTTTCAACTGATTAATTTCATATGTAATTCAGTTATTTCAGCAAAAATTAGATTTATTTCTCAAAATTAACATTGACAAAGCACCGAACTAAATTTAACGCAACGCAAGTATTCGAATTTATTAGCAGAAGTCTTCTCTAATAACCTTTACCTAATTAATTTTATCATGTGATTCATGTACTTCAGCAGAGGTTATATTCGTTGAACAAAAGTAAAACTAAAAATCCTAACCTTTGAGAACTTTCGAAAAATTAAATTTTTTTCCTTGATAATGTACTGTGTCTACTAAAGCATATAATATAGATGAAGGCAGTAACACAAAATAATTAACTGACAAAGAATAGTCGTTTGGCAAGCGAACAAGAAGAAAACATGTTCCGGGTGATAAACTGCATTCATCACTGTAAATATTATCTTTTAATAAGTCTGATTCTGTGAGAAAATTTTTTTTTGAAAAACAGTCAGTAGCTATCGTTGCATTTGGCACTCTTTCTTCTCTTGATTGATATGATTTTCTGTTCTTTCTTGTTTTACCAAATTTAAGTCATTTAAAAAAAAAAAAGTTAAAACTTCAACATTCATCGACATGCTGCTTCAACTTGAAAAGTCATGACTCCTTTTATCCACTCGCAAAAATCTTATGAAAACTTATTTCAACTTTTCTGCAATTAGCTCGATATTTCTCTAATTAAAACTTTTCTCTGTAAATGCGAAATGTATTAGCTAATTCTACCTTGAACTGAGTGCTAAAAAGTAATTTCTTTAGAAACTCAAGATTAAAAAATTAATGCGTGCAATCATATGCATTCATATTACGTTGAAAATCCGAAACTCGAAAGTGATTTTTTCGTAAAAGAATAGTTTGTATAAAAGTTCAAAGAAATGAAAAAAAAGAAAAAGATTCTCAGAGACATTATTTCATGCTTCTGTTTTCAAATCTCAAAGAAGCAAATGTTCCGTAAATTGCTGTAGAGAACAAATGTCCAAAAATTCCCGAATACTCCTAGCTGTCATTAAGCTAAACCTTTTTTACCACTTTAGTTTAGTCCATCAGTGTATAACTGAAGCAAGATCCATCAGGATGAAACTGGTATTTCATCCGTTTAATTCATGTTTACAAAGAAGTTGTAACAGATAGAGTCCGAAATTTTCACAGGTTTAAGATTTTGAGAAATGTCGTCATATTAAAACGCCACAACTATTTTTATCGCAAAAAGTGGAGTATTTCCGTCCGTCCGTTCGTCTCTAGATGTCAAATTTGCTAAAAAATTTCTTTCACTATTGTATTTCTCTTTTTCTATCACATTTACCGATTTCTTCTTTAAATAAATTTTCTTCATCGGCAATGTGGAATATCACAAGGCACTTCCCTGTTCTGTCTCCAGACTGCTTTCGAAAGACAGAATTCTCCTGCCGACTTAAGCTAGCTAGTTTCAAAAAGTAAAGCACACTCTTTCTCCGAATTTACGTATAATTCAAAAACGATTCAATCGGCGGGCATGCAGACAAAATCGAGGCATCTTTCGCCTCAATAGCGAACTATAGTTCGAAAATGAAAAGATGATAATAAAAATTTCCAGTATCTGGATTAATTTCATTTCCTGTTGTCTGTATTTTGACAGTTCGAGTTTCTGATGCTAAGCTGCACTGATGAATAATAGGAAAAACCAGCAATATTATTTCGTTGGTCTAAATTATCTTTTAGGGTTATTAAAACTTATAAATTTATAAGGGTCGAAGAGATATCCCACTGTTGCGGAAGTGAATGATGCAACATAAAGTGTAAAAATAAATTTAAGCACTCGAACATCAAAACAAAACAGATTGAATGCATCATAATACGAGACCAACGTTCAACATGAGGCATACGAACTTAAGATACAACGAGAATAAAACAAGCAGAAAAGAGAGCAGCCGCCATCTTAGTTCTATGTAAATTGTATTTACAGACAGTGACATGTACAACTTTTTGGCTAGAGAACAAAGTCATAGCAACAGATACTGCAAATGATTTCAAAAAAGTCCCATAAGTTTGAAAATAAGGTAAAAAGAAATATTTCGCAGTTTTGAAGTTTACAGAGACTTAATTAAGACTGGACGATAAAGAGAAAACACAGAAAACAAAGGCAGTAGAAAAACAGAACAACAACAATGGTAAAAACCCCAAAGTTACTAGATTTCGGATGAGGAAGAAGGATAGACTGTAGCATTCCCAGGATCATCACCACTTTTAGTCCTTTTCGTTTTCCTTTCCGCTTCATCTTCAGTTGATCTTTTCAACTTTTTACGAACCAAATTGCTAACATCGTCAACAGGCATTTTCTTTATCGATGACTTATGTAAGACCACTTCCATATTATCCTCCATCACAACATTTTCCTGAAACGTGATGTCAATTAAGTAAAAGGATTTTATTGGAAAACAAAATGGATAAAAGGGAAAGTAATGAAAAGAAATGAAAAGAGTTGGAAAAGAAATAAAAACCAATGAAGTGATTAAGTAATCAAGTAAAGTGGATCAAAATAAAAGGAGAACTTGGTTTTTTAAAAAATCGTCGCAAAATAAACAAAAAACAAAATATTACACATGCAATTGGGCTTAACAATAATCTTAATCCAGTACAAATTCATGTAAAAAGCATCGTTACAATGGTTCTCATTCATCAAAGTATGAATTTTCAGATCAGTTCAATTAAAAACAGATGCTATGTGATACTGAGTGAGATTTACTTTTATTAAACTTCTGGCACTTTCCAAAGAATCGTCAATTTTTATTTGAATTTCGGGCAATAGAAATTTGAGTTCATCAATTTCCTTTTTAATTATCTCTGCTTCTTTTTCACTTTGATGTGCTAACTGTGCTTCAAGTTTCGCTGAAATATGTACAAAATAGATTTCCAAATCTAGATAAAGTTTAAAGCTTATGCCAAATACTATATGCAAAATTACATTTTTTGTCTTTGTAGTATGACCAATTTATATAAGTAGGAAAATACAAAATAAATAGAAATATTTCAAGCAAAATCCAACAAACTCACCCAGTTTTGCTTCCAAAATTTCTTTTGACTTCCCAAAAACTTTGGCTGCATTCCCAAAATCTTTGGCAAGATTGTGAGTTCGTCCTTTTACAAAATAAGCTTGCGCAACACGCCGATCGACTTCACCGAAAATGCTTTCCGTGAGTAAGATACATGCATCAATATCATCAATCGCCTGTTTATAATTTTCTGCATCGGTTGAGCAATCAGCGAGATCCAGAAGAACTTCCACTTTCTTCTCTTTCCAACCTTCTTCTTCTAAATGCCTGAAAATTACCAATATTCAGTCCAGTCTTTTCAAATTTGTTTCAGTACAGTTTATAGATCAAAGTTATTTTAGTGTTCGTATTCCGAATACAGTATATTACTGAATACAGTATATCCATATTACTATATTCCCGACTGTAGATCTGTTAATATACTGTCTATAAAAAAACGAGTGCAGAAGAAAACTCTTTCAATTCCTATATGATGTGATGAGTACCAATGAGTCGAATTACTCGTAATAAGTGAATGGTTTTTGAAATAAGTTCGAATTCAACAGTCACTTTATACCAATTTTTTGACTTAAACACTCACTTATCACAAATGGTTCGCGCAACTTCCAAATTCTCCCACGCTAGCTGCAAATATTCAACGTCGTCAACGTCACTGGATCCTTTGTCGTCGACCTCTAGAATTTCATTTTTACCACTTTCACCTAATTTACCATCCTCTTCTTCGTCGTTAGCTCCATCACTTCCTTTCTTCTCGTCCTCCGTTTTTTCATCTTTTTTTCCTTCACTTTTGTTCTTTTCTTCCTTATGAACCATAGTTTCATTCTTATCTTCATCCTTATCTACAGTGCATTAATAACAACGGAGCGATCAATAACGACAATCAGTTTTTTTTTTTTTTTTTTAAATACATAATAAAACAATCTTTACCACTTTCGATTGCACAGTATCCCTTCGTTTGCTCCTTCTCTGTACTATTTCCATTATTTTCCGTAGTTATATCTGTTTCACTGTTATCGACACGAATATCAGTACCGTTTTCCTTAAGATTTAGTCCATACATTCATAAAAAAATCACCTTAAAGCTAAATAATAAAATAATCTGTTCCTATAAACCATTTTTTGGCTAAACATGAAGACCAATATCAAGAAAATTTTGAAAGACTTGCCGTGAAGTAGTCGATAAACTAAAAGCCACGATTTTTGGCATATTTTGTATCCGCAAATTCTAATCGTTTGAAAGAAATTTTTAAAAAAGTAGCACAAGTTTCACTCCATCAGAATTTTTTTGTATAGCAACTGTATCCACAATCGTACTTTCATAAAAACTTGCCTTTTTATTTTGCTCCAGCATATTGAAAGAGTCAACATGACAACAGGCAATTTTTCCCTTCAAGATATCAGCATTCTCTTCCAAAGCATTACCAACTTTTTCCGCAATTTCAGCTATTTTTTTTTCTGAACAGAAAAGCAGCTCCTTTTTAACACATATAAGGAGATACATATACTAAAAAGAAATTGAAAATGAAAAATTCGACTCTAAAAGAACAGAAATAAAAAATTACCAGTGAGTGATTTCACTTCCTCGATACTTTCATGTTTTTCGTTGTTCTGCTGCTTGCATGCTTCTTCGTCGGTAGCTGCAATACCTTGCAAAGCATTTGAAAAAACGCCATCCTCCAGTCTGGCCAATTCAAGCAAAGTTTTACCATAATACAGATGAGGGTCAAATGTTGGAACAGCAAAATATCCATAAATGTTAACACTGAAACGCTGACACAAAGACATTTCTTCCTGTTCTAATATATATCCCGAATCCATCATTTACTAACCCACTAAAAGTGATCGCAAATAGAATAAAGACTGAATTAAATTATGAGAATTATAACTTTGAAATTAGTTCAAGTAGCAATCATTTTCACTTCAACCTGAGCATCAATATATTCAGCAAAACCTACGAGAGTTCAGCAGCTTCGCCTAATTTTATTTCAGCTTCTTTGAATTTCCCTGATATATATGCCTGTTTTCCTTCAGCTAAAAGCGTTTGGAATGTCACAACATCTCTGTAATCGAATGGATGTATCATTAAATTTCAAAATTAGACATCCCAAATTTCAGTTAGTCGTTGAATAAGACAATGTAAGCAATAGCAAGATAAACTTCAATGAAATGAAGATGAACCAACCCCTTATCCTTCTTGCCAACAGACTCATCGTTCTTCGATGTTGGTACCATCATTCCTGCTTTCCTGAAAATACACACATCACAAACAGCACGCTTAATTGTACAACACTTCACATTTACCTATCACGTCCTCCTCTCCGTTCGCTTATATTCGCGCTCCAATCCTATTTCACAGCCCCGCGGCCGTCGTTATTTATCAATTCTCATTCGGAAGGTTTGCGAGTAAGGTGACCAAAAGCGGTTTCTTTTGGACCAATGAGGTGACGTAAGGTTGAAGGTGGTATGAGGAAGGGGGGAGGGGTGTGTGCAATGGTTAGAAGTCACTGTGCTGGTGACTTTTCATCCCAGTTACTACTAAGATTGATTCAAAGCAGATACTCGTTAATGTAATGTTTCAGTGGCGATGGAACTGGACAGGTCATTTACAGAACGCATAAAAGTTTAGGGAAGTATTTGCTTGTTGTAAGTTAACTATCACAATTATGATTTAAATGATGTTAAACCATTTTCCTCTCATTTCTGCATTTTTTCCTCTCATTAAGAAATAAACTGTAAATAAATTTATGTTGTTTTGATGACGTCTATAATTGCATTTTTGTTATCCGTTTTCATGTTTGTAGGCGTTTGATCTCCGTGACTTGTGCTATATCATATTTATGGTTTAACTGACTTGTGAAGTAAATCATTATCAGTCAGTTAATGCTTTGCAATCAAATAGATTTATATCTGTTGTTACTTATGTCATGATTAGGATAACACTCATCAACATAGGTGTGCATTTCTTTCTCACTAAGTTATATTTGCTCTCGTCATGCTTCAAGCCATTTATAGTGGCTTTCGTTTAATAAGTTATGAAATCATAGTTTGTGATGTCTGTATTTTATTAATCTCCAGCAATCTGGATTCTGGTCATAATAGTTCAAAACATTTCTGTTCTTGTTAATATGAATCTATTATCTAAACCTGTTCAAAGGGAAAATCAATTAAAGTGGAATGAATGGAATAATTTGAGGTGTTCAGGTGGAATTTAGACATATTTAGTGGCTGACTATACTGACATATGAAGCAAAACGAAAAAGATGATTTTCATATATCTGACATATCATTCGGAACTTTTTTTCTTGAAATAGAGAAGTAATTCTCATTCTTGTTGATATCTTTTGATAAGGCATTCTCAGATTTATTCTGAAACAAATAAATAAGTGAGAGAATTGAAATCCTTTCAAATGAGTAGAAGCGAGTTGAATAGTTGATTTCAGTTCATTAAACTAGAACTTATTGCTTTAAATACTTGTCTTGCTGAATGAAACAATCCTAAACTTATTTTATTTGCTTCATGTATTTGTTGCAGTAATAATTCTCAGCTTTGGCATTGCAAAATGAAAAGGCACATATTCCGTATTCTAGTTCGATTCCCTAAGCTTCTTCCCTTCGAAAATGTTAGTTATCAATTAAAAAAAGTGTTATTGTCATTCATATTTCGTTTATATATGTATCGAACTCGCCTGCACTTCCGCTGATTCAAACCTGCCGTCTACGAATCTTCCTATCACACATGATATCATCGATTGCTGTAAGAAGTTTCTTTTGTAAATGTTTTATAGTTGAAACTCGAGAAAATCGAATGAAATTGGAAAGAATTTTTATTGGAAGTTTTTTGTAATTATTTTATTGAAAATTTTTATGGAAGGGTTTTTGTTAAAAGATTCATGTAAGGGACTTTCTGTGCTTGCGAACTGAATACTAGGGTCTTCCTTAAAAAATTGTTTAGTTCTTTGATTTTTTAAAGAATTCAAGCCTTTTAGTTTTGACTGGGTAACCTGGTTATCCTGTACTTAGTCATCTTAAAAAATGCATACACTTCTCTTTGCTCTTCTGCTAATTGCCTGAAAATTATTAGATGATGAGAGTCGAAGTGAACATTAGCGCACTTTATTGATTTACTATTAGTCTTGAATTCCATAGTTAGATCTTTTAGTTTGAAAATTTGTATAGTTATCCAGTATGACAAAATTCATTTTTCGATGAGGTGACAAAACTGTTATAGGGCTATAAAGATGGACCACTTGTGATTGAACTTATTTTCACCTTAGCATTTATTTATTTCATAAGTAAAATTTAATCGTTGCAGAGGAAAGCAGTGCTGACATTCTTGAATGTTCTCACAGGTGTTGATGAAAAGAGTAGTAACACTTAGTAGTGACTTAAAAGTCTTCTGAAAATTAAAATTGAAATAGAAATTTCACTTCATGTCATATGAGGGTTTCGTGTTTATACGTACAGTTAGAGTCTCATTTGAGGAAGATTGTGCAGGACTTCGATTTTTTGGTTCCCGAATCTTTTTTTTGCTTTTTGTGCTAAGCGGTGGAGGCCGACTTCCTGGATTTCGGATCTTTACATAAGTTGCTGATGACTGGAAATTTAAGAACTAGTTAAATAGAAGAAAACTCGAGTTATCCTATTGGGACTAGCACAAGATTTTAAAACTGAGTGGATATTTGGGATTATAGTGAATTGTTTGGAAATAAACCTCTCGAGTTTTTAGAATTGTTTTAACTCAAAAATTTCGCCTTTTAACTGTTTCATTTTTAATAGGTGAAGTTCGACCAAATTCTGCTTGGAATTCTTGAAAAAAGTGGAAATTTCATTGTACCATACTTTTATTAATGGTTTCTGTGAGCTCTTGTTATGTGGCACCTCATGTGTTCCATTCTTCCACCTGCATTTTCAAATCTTCAGACGTGGTCTTACGATTTCCGAAAATTTACTATTGAGGCCGATTGATTGTTTTAGTGCATCTGTGTATTTCAAGGAGTCACATATATACGACCTTATTTCCACTGATGTTTTGTGTGTTTTCTCATTAAAAAAAAAGTGGAATCGATCTGAACATAATTCTAGACGATTTGGGTATTGCTACTAACTGTTGTTTCTGAGTTTTATTCCATACCTGCTGTGCTCATTTAAAAGGACAGACGACGTTTCAGGTTTTCCTTTGAATGAATATTTGACAACAATTTCAACCTCAGTATTCGATTCCATTGCAAGCAATTCTGCTTCATTCCGGAATCTTTCAAAAACTCGTTGCATTTCGTTATTAACTGCACTCGACCTTTGTAGAAATGAGCATGAAATGAAATATATTTACTTTTTATTCTCGTCTCCACATCAATAATTTGCGTACTTTTTGTTTACTTTCAATTTAGAATTCATTGCGTGATGAAACCACCGATAAAATGGTAATTTCTGGAGGCTCTTTGATAACGAAGCATGCCGAAAAACTTTTGGTACACAAAGAAAGTATATGCAAAATGAAAAGGAAAAAATTTTTAATATTACGGAATATAGTTAAGTTTAAACGATATGTTGGACAGAAAACGTTAAGTAAATGTCACGAATGCAGTAAAAATACCTGGTCCGAAAAAATTCGAAAGCTACAAAGAATGCAAGAAATATTCATATACTTCATGAAGTGCAATTGATTGCATACTGGTGAATGGAAATGATACAAATTCAAACAATAACATTTCCAAATCTCAACAACTATTCAATTTCTTTGGTGAACGTACTGGCTGCGCAATACGTCCACCCCAACGAAGCCGGAAATTGCCTTTCCGCCATTTGATGTTAGGATTAAACAACGCTTGACACCAGATTGGGAAAGACAGTGCTTCACGATACAACCACACAAATAAGAATTGTGCAAACGAAAATGGCAGCGGTCCATTCTGAAACATGAAAACAAATTCAGTAGACTGAGGAAGTGAAGTATCCTCTTACCGAAGATTTCGATGACCTTGTGCAAAACGAACCTGAACAAGGTGGATCAAAGTGTAATCACATGAGATCCAGTAAATGAGATGGAAAATAAAATAATAAAAGATGTAAATTGGTGAGGACGGAAGCAGAATCAAAATAGCACAACACCCCAATATGCCGGACAAAAAACAATCTTGCAAAGGTTCCAGTATTATCGTATGAGGTAGCATTGCTATACGTAATTTTATCCACCTGGAAATAAATTGCTACAGAAACGTGAAGTGTAACCAAGGAATTTTTCACTTTGAAGATCTAAATCATCCAGAGGTTTTATTAAGATTGCAAACGACTCAAGAGATTGCCTCTTATTAAGAAAACAGTTGAGAATCATTTACATTATAATTTGAATAGGTCACTTCGAGAAAATCTAGCACAAACCTGCATATACGTTCATGGAAAGTGTTTGGATCGGGTCTTGCTGTGTTTTGCATGGCAGGTAGACCAGAAATTGCTATCTTCCATCCCCTTAACACTCCAATTAGGAATTTGAAAGAAATTAATACTTCAAATTTTAGAATCAAACTTTCTAGCAAATTGACCCCATCCCAAAAAAAAATTAGGAAAAAATACATGCCTTTTAGCAAATGCAACACCAAAGAAATAATCCTCGGCAAGATAGTCACCGAAGTTTTCCATACCACCAGCATCCTCCAGAGCGCATTTTCTCATTAGTGATGACATTCCCGTAGAACAAATAAAACGTAAACAATTACCAGCTAAGTAGATACGTGCATGTTCTGTACCAAAATATACCTGAAATGTTTGGAAAATGATTACCACATCTAAGTTCTTAGATTGCCATCCCTTGCTCAAAAGAAGAATACTGTTTGTAGATAAAAAACTGATCTGTTCAGTTATCTGTTAAAGTTATTACTTGTTCAAGGTTAGCTCCGAAACCCGGTCTATCAGCGCAAAAAGGCATCTGTGTAACTAATGCAACATCACTCGTCATAGCGTTCACCATATCCATTAACGCATCCTCACGCACTAGAAAGAAAACGATGAAATTCATTCCTTAATTCCAAATGCTATCGATTCATAAATTTGTAATTCATTTCGACATTTCAAAGAATAAAAATTTAACAAGACTTACTATAAATTCCACTATCGCTAACCAAAATTAATGGATATTTTGAAGCACGATATGCAGGTATCATATTGTCAATCTTTGGATTTAATCCAATATTGCCGCCGCCTTAAAAAAAAAAAAAAAAAACCAGAATCGAAAGCTTTTTAAATGTCATGTGATTTAAGAAATCACCGTAAAAAAATATCAAGAAAAATAAAGTGATGATCTATAAACAAAGTAACAACAAAATTTCTTGCGGCAAGTGTTCATGAAACGTGTAACGTACTGTGGAAACTTCTAAGAAAAGTAAGATAAACTTAACACAAAAAAGACGTGCATCAATATATGGATATTTCATCATTAGAGCTTCAACGACTTTTTGAGAGGGATCACTCGCATCATGCAAACAAAATAGTAATTCATACTGAAAACAGAAGCAGTTCCAAGATATTTACGCCTTATATCGGAGTATAAAACCTATGTTTAAGAATATGCATCTTGGGAATGAAAGGACTTTTTGATTTAAATCCGCACGAATAATTAGCATTCTAATTAAATACGACAATATGGAAGGTTAAACTATGCCTAGATTACATAATGAAAAATAAACCGAATAGAAAGTTTTGATCACAAAAAAGAAACAGCGATATTCATCTTATTTAAACATTCTGCAACTATGAATCAAACATAAACTTGAATATATAATTTAAAGGAGTAACTTACACAATGATATTTTAACTTAAAAAAACTTTCGAGGTTAAAAAATAAATTTTCGTCAGTGCCAACTAGTGGCTTGATAATAGACACCCCAGCTGTATCGCTCCTCGTGGTTATCGGTCGATGCAAACGATACTTGCTGCAATAAAACAAACGTGGCATTCAAAAAAGAATTTCTCTTCAAAGCATTCCTTATTTTTATTAAAAAGTCATTAGCGCAGTTTACTGAAATATGTGTAAGATTTCAAAGTGGAAGTAATCCAAAATGAAGGTAGGAAATATACGCATAGGAGATTGCGATGATATGAACGATGTACAAGCCACAGAGAAATAGGGATATACTGACTGCAAATGGGAATGCGCAGCTCGAAATGAAATCGATGAGTGGAAGTGTCATCTGAGGCCATCTGAAATAAACCAAAATGCATTCCTGCGTTTTTATCATTTAGACAGAAGAAAAATTAATATTTGCTGGGATGTTAACAAACTAATGCGTAATTAGGTCACACCACTACGCTAACGTAAACAGCAAGCAGTTTTATTGCGTTCACAAAGTAAAACTATTATCACTGGATGTCCGCTAATTTATAAAGTAAATGAGTACGAGGAATTTCTGGGTAAAGTTTTCCAAAAAAATGTTTTTTTTTTTTTTTTTTTAGTTTTGTTTTCAGTTAGATCAGGAAAGCACACGACAACAGCAGGTCAAATTTGATTGATACAAAATAAGACATTATACCATCATCATTACAGTTCTCAGTAGGCGGCGAAATCTAATTTGTATCGTAAACTTCCAATCAAATTTCTTTGTAATGCTGCAGAAAGCTAATTAAACTTGCCTAATTTCCAGCGATCATAACTGACAACCTCGTATTATATGAAAGCGATTGTGCTTTTTTTCCTTCACATCACAATATAGATGAATGCACTTGTCCAGTGCTACAAGTAATCCTAATTGAACTTAACTAACACATTTGTGGCTGGTTGACTTCATTTTCAGTTGAAAATAAAAGGTCGAAAGAAAGAACTAAATGAAAAGTGTGACCGGAAAAATAATCTTATTCAATGTTCTCGGCACCAACCCAAATAAACTTAGGAGGCACAAACATTATCTGTGACTTTTTATTGAATAATTGCCACTGCAGTGAATATATGCAAAATATGCAGTAGACAATGCAACTTTGCTGTATAAAAGTACATGATTTCGCAAGGTCAACAAACATACAAAAAAAATAGCAATTCGAATATCACGAACATAATAAAAGAATACAGTACAAATCAACATAATGCACCTACCTTCATTTTCAACAAACAATTTCATTTCCAGCAAATTTGCATGTTAGAAAGTCGCGGAAGCGTATGAAAGGAAAAAGCATCGAGAATACTCCGTCATAATAGTGATCTAATCTCAACTTCAACAATGCTTAAAATGGGAGATGAAACAAAATATTTCCTTGGAACAAGACAGTGCACTACCTATTATAAGAATTTCAAAATCTTTAAGTTTCTTAAAATTTGGAGAGTTTCAGTCGTGAAGAAGATAAAGTAAAGCGATATATATATATATGCAAAACACGCGATTTAATAGGACAATAAGAAAAGTGGTGGAAAAGATGGGAGCGAGAACATTAGTCCTAAAATATAAATTTCAATTTTTGTAACTTTTGAAAAAACTTTTTTCTTGCTATTATTCTTAAAGAGTTTCCTAATTCTTTTAGTGTAAAAAACAAAAACATGTTCTCAACCACAGTTTTCTTCACATAACATAAAAGAAGGGACGATATAATTCAAAAAATGCAGTACTAGAATATGATAAAAAAATCTATGATGATTGTGTGATGATTGTTTTTTTGATCACTTAGATTTAAAGATTCTTCGATTTTGAACATTAACTTTGACTGCAGTGAGTTAATAATTCTCAGTAGTCATTTTTATTTTCAGTTAGATTATTAAAAAATTAATGCCTGCATCACCTAAGTAGGAAACTTGGACAAATTTAACATTTCTTATGAAACTGGGATATCAGCGAACCACAATGTACTTTTACTGTTTGCGCTGCAAACCTAAATAATAGCACACTTTTATTGATGCAACAAAAAACGTATCGATGGGTGACTTTTAACAAACATTAAAAAGATTCAAGCTTTAAATATGCACTTTTTAAAGGTTTCATTAGTGAAAAATGGAAATTTCACTCATTTCAAGAGAGAAGAACCTTTTAAAAGTTCACGATTTTCAAAAAAAGTATTTAAAAAAAAAATTTCTTTATGTAATTTAATCAGTATAGCAAACTGAAATAGAGAAAGACTATTGCATTTGCTTACAAGTTTCAGACTTTGTAATAGACAATGGAAAGAACAAGAAACTGTTGAATATGTATGAAGAGCATGTCAACGATACTCCCCCATTGGTCGAAATAAATTTCAACAACAGTCGAAAGAAACCTTAAATAACGATACCATCGTAACTTACACTGTAATCATCGTTTTCCATAAGAATTCTTATATGCGCCATCGTCAACTGGAAAATAGTGTCAAATTCATTTCCTTTTTTTTTCATGCTTTTTCTAGAATTATAAAAAATGTTGTTACAAGCTAAAGTCTAAAGAAAAAAGCTAATAAACATAACTGTTACTGCGATCATTATTATTGCTAAGATATAATTCTTACAGGACAATGATGATAAATTCAACTAAAATCGATAAATTATTCAATTAATAAATATTTCTAATCAGCATACATTTAGCACAATACTTCTCACATATTCGAAGTAAATATCCGTTATAAATCCAATTCATGTTCGTCTAGTAGTTTTTCTAATCGAGTCCTGATTCTATTGGAATATTTCAAATAAAAGTAAAAACGACTGTTCTGACATCTCTTTCAAAATAAAAAGCATTAAAAAGTAAACCTTTAACTGATACGCTCACAAAAAAAAAAAAAAAAAAAAAACAAAACTAATGTTAATCGAAGTATACGATCAAATTAAAGATTTCGAACTCAAATACAGGCAAAAAAAAAAACAGAAGAAAAGTTCAAACAAAAAACCCAAAACTTAAATTCTGAACAGACAAAATCATGCATAAGGTGATTCTGCATAGAGCCACATGTACCAGAAAATTTCAAAATATTACGTTAAAATACGTAGTAATCTGCTCCGCTTCATTCGACGGTTCCAGCTGTACAACTAATTCACGGATCTTTCCAATAAGTTGATTCAGTGCATCAACTGTAATCTATAATAAATAAAGTCAAACACGTCACTGTCACAACGATGTTATTTGCAACCCAATTTATGATTCCCGAACAAACTACAATTCTATTTCCTTATTCATAACTGTAAATATCACTCTTATAAAAGATATAAAATGTATAAAGTCAATTCTTGAAAGGACTTTACAAAATCAGATTTAAATATTTTCATATTCCTCAAATTTGGTCTTGCGAGGTTATTAAATAGCCTAACTGCATACTAGCTTATTAAGGCTAACCTCATTACATCCAGCTTCATAGAAATAAAGGTAATGATTGAAAACAGTTATGTAAAGTTGTACTTGGACAACTGGATCCATACACTGAGATATGACACGCAAAGCTTTTTTTAAGCAATTCATGACCTATAAAAGACGTACTGCTTTTTGAATTAGAAAAAAAAACACTTGATTTTATTCGAATTTTTCCTATAAATTTATTTGAACTGCACAACTTTCCAACCATACATTTCTATATTTTCAAAACAAAAGATGATCAAATTAAAATACCTGCACGGAATCTTTCATTGGATGATCCCTGTCTGCTGTATGACCATTCCAAAACAAATGTGCCTCAACGAAACAATATGTTTCATTATGTTTCTTTTGATAATGAGTGTTATTTTCATATCGTTTCATTTTGATCTTATAAGGTTCTTAAATCGTCTAACTGCAATTACAGCTCACTGGACTTTATGTTTTTGGATGGAAAAATGCCTATGGATTCTCATGGTACTCCTCACGGCATTATATATTCATCCCAGTTTTACTAAATAAAATTCTATAAACTTACTACTAAGCAAACTGCTATACACTGATCAGCTTTTTTGAAAAGCTTAGCAGAAGCATGGGCGCATTGAGTACGCAGTGGTTCGTGATTTTCTTCCGTGAAGCATTTTACTCGCTCAAGAGTACCTGCAGTTTGATTTTAAAGTCAAATTCAAATATCAAGATCCAAACAAAAGTCATAAAGTGTAATCTACGAGTTATATATGAACAGCCTCAGCAGCCCCATTCATAATTATCTCTCAGAATCTAAATGTAATATCTGAACTAATATTAAAACTAAAGTTCAATTTTCAAAATTTCGATCTGAAGAAAAACTCTGTACATAATGCAAGCACATACCTATAAGTAATGATATTGCAGCAAGTTGTGCTCGACTATCGGCAACTTCCTCCTCATAAATGGAAAAAGCCTGTAAAGAAATATTCCCAAACAATATAACAACTTTCATCATTTACATCTGCATACTATAGCTTCAAAAAATTTGACAAATAAAAACCTTGGAAAAAAATTCATATGCAACAGTTACGCTGTTGTCAAATTGGATTTGATCAGCTATTAACACTCCCTGTAAAAAAAAAAAAAAGTTTAAATAAGCAAGAATGTTACTTGCTATTAATGAATTATTCATTTCACAATTTTTCCCCTCTATTCAACAAGACATTTCCTCCGAGAATCTTTATGTTAACATTAATGTGGTTATAAATTCAATAAGTAAATTGTATACAAGGGAATGATACATTACATTGCAAAATTAATATGAAAACCACAGCTATTATAAAATATGGACCTGCAGATACAAGCGTATTGGTAGTTGTGACAGTTCTGCAGTTGAAACCAAAGCATCTACTGTGTGCATACAAAATACAAACATTTTTTGTAGCTTTGCGTCACGTTTTTGCTAGAATTAGAGATCAATAGAAGGCATTAGATGCTAAAAATTTATTAGGTGTTAAGGCATTAGATGCTGAAAAAAAAAGTAAAATGAAAAGATTAGCTAAATCCCGATTCAATCCACATACAAAACCCATGCTTCTTCCCTGCTCACTTTCTATTTTCTTATGAAAAATGGTAGTTGGTATGATATCATAATTCAACCATAATGTCTAGAAAATGTTAGCTGAAAACAACAAACATCATCGGTTTCAGCTGCATAGCGAACAATTAACTGATATAAGGCAAAAGTAATGGAAGGTAGCGAATACTGAATGCGATAACGTCCACCAGCACCAAAACGTTTTCTCACTGCACTGATTATCTGTAAATGATGGCTCATGAAACAAGCATCAGAAGTTTGGAAATGAGATAAAAGCTGATATTATATAATAGAAAATAAAAAATCTATAACTTAAAGTCTTGTGATATTACTTAACGCATGTCGCTTGTGATATTATTCATACTATACTTCCACAAGCATTTACGTTGTGATTTATCGCTTTAGATTGTTGCTTATCGATACGATGTCTGTCTTATTTTTTTAAGTCTTTTGAAATATACCAAAAACTGTTGATCTGTTGTTGGAGCATGGATGAGATTAACAAATCGTGAAACAAGAGCTTGCTCATCAACAAAATCTTCATTCATTCTTAGATCATCGGGCTGATCTTCCTGATCCACCAGCAATGGCTCAATTAAATTTAATAGTTTTTCCACTGCCTCCATTGTAGTCAAAACCACATCCTAAAATAAGAAAAGTATACAGTGCCCTATGTTTCTACGCATCCTATTGAATTTCTGAAATCGATTTGAAAATTTTCGAATTCAATATGAGATCTCTGTGACGCGAACAAGCAAATAAACTTACATCATCCACCATTTTTTGTAAAACGTATGCTGCTGCCTGGGTTCTTCCACGATAGTCCATCAATCCTAAGACATCACCATAATGTTCTAACTGGAGTAGTTTGTCAGTGTTATTATATTGATCCACTGGGATTCGCAAAATCTTCATTATCTCGCGGCCAACAACGCTATTATACGAAGTTCTGAAAAATGGTAAAATACAAAAATAAGCGAATTTCAAAACATTCTACGAGGATAACTCATGACGAACTTGTTGACACGCAAGTTCGTAGCTAAAAGCAGGCATTTAGATATGAAAGGCTAGTCAGTGAAAAAAAATCTTAAAACATCTTGAAACAGCATCACCTTCAAGTGAACAACAAGAATAATAAAAGTTAGATTAATGTATACCTTACTATCTTAAATTTATCAAAAACGTTTGCCGTAGTGGCGAAAACCATATCTGCATAGTCAGTTCTTTCTGGATAACATTTTAAAGCAAAGTTGACGAGAGCAGTCTGAAAATTAAATATCTCCATTTATATGTCCGAACCAAGTAAATAATCTAATTTTTCAAATCCTTTGATTAAAAAAATATTAAAATATTTCCTGATTGGAAACAAAATGATAAAGAAAAACAAAAAAAAAATCTATAGATAATAAAACGCAATAAAGACCTGCAAAGAAACGACATCTTCCGGTGGCATTCCTTCTCGACTCATTATCACTGATTGTGTCTGTTTTGAAAAAATCTCAAACAGGGGCAAATCGCTAGGAATTTCAATACCTTCAGATGAAGCGTAAATAGCAAGGCGATCAATCAAAGCTATGAAGACATTCTTTATCTGCAAATGAATCACAATGTAAATTAACTTGTTAGCAGTGAGTATCTTGGATTTTGCGAATAAAGACAACTTATTAAAGAATTGAAAATTGAAACAAAAAAGATTTACTTGAACGCCTTGATCCAGTTCAGAGCAAGCATGGAGAAATTCATGCAAAGTTGCCAAGTGGTACTCATCCGGAAAAACCTGAATGACACATTCCATAAGATATTCTTGAGATATTGCATCTTTGCATGATACGGCCTGCTCCAGAATTCCTGGCAGAACAATCTGAATGATTTCAAATCAATATTAAAAATTTTAAATGGCATCATTACATTCAAAACATTTCGATATTATACGTTTAAAACCGTAAGATCCTAAAACAAACCTTGCGATAACTATTAATATTGAGATTTTCCAACTGCGAAAGCCGAACAAGATTTGTTCCTACCAAGATTCGCAATTCTCGTCGTTCACGTTCACGCTTATCCTTTTCTCGGCTTGGCCCTTGATGCTGCATTCGTACCCATAATTTATTCATTTCGGCGAAGTTCACCATAATGAAATCGATTGCATCTCGTACATCTCCATGATCATCACTAAAGCAATAACTACACTGCACTGTATATAATTTTCGGCAAATTAATGCAGTTGATAATTAAGTAAATTTAGAATAAATCAACGAAGAAAAATACCTCTTTTACATTTTCTTAAAATGTGAAAGCAGAGAACAGTGTCAAACACAGCAAGTTTAATAAATAATAAAGAAGAAACATACTTATTACTCTCTGCTATATCAGGCAATAAATTCCTGGTGCACTGCAACAAATAATTACGTAGAAAAAGACCGCGAAGTGGGTGTTGCACACCACGACACATCTCAACTAAATCCTTCAATATATCTCGAGCATTCGCTTCCCCCAGTCTTATGTACACAACACCAACAGTTACTAATAAATACCTATAAAATATTCTTTTCTGAATAATCTAATAAAGCCATTGCAATGTTGAAGATTAAAAATTCAATTCACAAAACAGTTTGCTTATTTCAATTCCGATCAAAAAAAATATTTCAAAATTTATTCTTCAAAATAAATGAAGGCTCACTGCCGAGACTTTTAGGCTACTTTTTCGATAACACCAAAACTCACTTTGTTCTAAACATACTGTTTCAATACTTCATACTCTCATAAGTTTGATGAGACAAGAATAGGACTAAGACATGAATAGTTGTAAAGAAAACCTACAGACGAGGAATAACATTGCCAGCATACTGAACAAGCTCATACAAGTCAGCAACTTTTTTTCCTTTCTCATAATCTTCAGTGAGATGGGCTTCCAAGTGCTGCAGTTCATTAGTCACATCAACATCTGAAAAGAGTCTTGCTTATAACACAGGAAAATTTACTTCAATCTTTTACAACGATTTTCGAAAACTAAAGAATAGTTCAAAATTCTAATCTAATTCGAAAATCTGATTCCTGAACGAGATATTTTATTATTCATTTTAGGAAACAAGCATTGGACATACTAGATATGCAAAGCGATAGAAGGCTAAAAATACTGCCGAAGTCATTGAAAAAAAAAATCTGCTACGAATTATGCAGTAGAAAATTTTTTGAAAAAAATTTGCGGATGATGTGCAACAGTAAGAAGACATAGATTATCAGATTTGATTTCTCTTAATAATTTATAACACCACTAGATGTTATAATTTATAACACACTAGGCGCGTTATATCAGATGTTCAGATATGTCTAAAAAGAAGTTCCAGAAAACTAGATCTGCTAACTTCGACTTGGGATATTCAAATGTTGAAATCTCACAAAGCCTGTAGTAGTACTTCGGTGTAAGTGTTCCAGTACGCAACTCCGAAAGCATTTGTGATGCATGCTTTAATGCATCCATCAAAACACCTTTATCCAAACATCGCTTCATTTCGAACGATAAGGATCGCACTGTAAGACACGTTTCTTCCAGTAACTTCTCCTGCTCCGACTTCAACATAAGGGAGTCATCGTTCTTCGTCATTGCTTCCACTTAATTTATTAATCCTCACACAGTACTGCTTTCTGCAATCCGGTAATCTAATATTGGAACCAACCAAATATGAATTCAAATCATTAGAACATGAATTTGATATTAAACTTACTGGAGATAATACAGAAAACATTAGTTTGGAAAAAATCTTGTATAATTTAATTATTTGGAATAACGAATCCCCTTATACCAACTTTATTTAATGGATTCATATTCCAAAAAATTTTAAAGTAAATAAGAATATGCCAAATTAGCTGATGGTTATTAGAATGCGTCAAGAATTATATAAATTTATTGCTGGCTCTTGGAAAAATACAAATTATTGATTTGTATATTACAACCTGCAACCTGATTCTTTCTTCACGCTAATATTCTTTACAATCTCTTTCTATAGCTTTCTTAAGCAGTTTACAAAGCACGATGAATAATATCCTTAAAACTGGGAAAGAAATTTTCAGACAAAGGGAATGTAGACAGCTATGAAACTTATAAAGCTGCAAAAGTGGTGACTAGAACTGAGAAAATTTACTATACATTTGAAACGAATATGAACTACTGACCAGCTTATGATAATACACAATGCAGTACTGGGCACCTGTACAAAACAATAAAGCGCAATCAAAAACACATTGGTTTTCTTAGCATGAGGTGTCAAAATATTACAACCTATAAAAAAACTGGATTTTTTTTCACGTCAACATTTCTTTCTTGACGTATTGAATCATTATAAATAAAAATAACATTATAAAGATAATGTTGTCTATCACAAATAAAGTAATATTTATCAAAAACTACTACAAGAAATTTGATTCATCGACATCAGAACAAGGATGAAGAATCTGAAATACTAGATTTTTTTTTTTTTTTCATATTATTTCTTGAAGTGTGCTGAAACACAGATTATTGCAAACTTTAGCTTGTTATTAATAAAACACGGATAAGTTCAAAACTCATTTGTTCACTAAATAAGACATTAAAATAACAGTTCCTTTTGAAACCTATTGATAAGTAGAATTTATAAAATCAGACAGCCTAAATCCTTTTCTGTTCTTCGCAAAAGAATTCCAGATCTACTATTCGGATCTATCCCAAAACCTTTTGCATGATTGAAGAGATGTCATGCTAATGTACAAACCTCACTGTGACGCTCAATGAATTATCATATCTTGAAAGATGAGTATTCTTTTTTTCTATCTGCAAAATAAGATAAACAGTTGGAATCCAAACCGTGCAGAATGGAATTAGCTGAACAGAAATTAATTTTCAAAATTAGGTCTTGAAAAAGCATAACAAACTTTAAAAGAAACTGAGGGCGTATTGAAAATTGCACATGTAAAGAAGTGGGAAAACCTCTTTTTTTAAAAAGGTAAAAACTCTAGAATCTCTTTGGCAGATTCAATTAGAAAAGTAACACGTTCTTCGAATTATAAATCTCTTTGACAACTTTTCCAGTGTTTTCTTCATCTAAGTTCTATTTTGCAAGCATTTTGATAGCATTTCGCAGTGTTAAAAGCAATAAATTATCATAACTGGAGGTAGTCAACGGATAGCCTATCACAGGAATACTATGCTAAACAATGTTAGACCACCATGCGCTATATGCGCTCTCGCTTTTAGGTATCCTGAATTGTGCACAGAAGTTATAAAGAGAAATCTTATAAAGCTTGAAGTTTTAACATACAACAGAATTGTTTTCTCTATTATTAACTAACTGATTCTACTTTAAAACATCGATCTATTCATAAACAGTTTCTATAACACCTTAGAAAACTAATGCAATATATGAATTAGCAGATAGGTTTAAAATATTTGGAACATTGTACAAAACCTTCCTGAAATTCTTTCAGTGAATATGTAACAATTCTAGCTTTTCTAAAAAAAAAGTCTGAGATAAAAAAGCAACAATTACATGCTTTGGTGCAAGACTCCGTTCTACTGCAAAATCCGTGGTAAACAATACAAATCTATTTCTCGCATCTTTATCAGCAAAAGTAAGCCATTCCTGAAAGAAGCCATAAAAGCCATAAAATCAAGAATGAATTTGAAGGATAAAAATTTCAACTATTTGAAACTTTTCTTCATTTAATGCGGCGGAATTCGCCAGTAGAAGAATAATGTGAATTGCTTGGTGAAAATGAAAAACATCTTCGTATATTAATTATAGTTATATATATACCAATTACAAAAAATGTATAAAACAAGCTGTAGCTAATCAGTCAATTCTAATAATTCATTTAGAAATATTGGAGTAAGCAAACAACATGGCAAAATAGTCAGTTATAAACAGTAGGTTGCCTTACGACATGCAGTAACTCCAATTTGAGGCATTTCGCTCTATGCAAAATGCGTTCGGCGGTATACGTACATAATAGTTCTAAACAAGTGTAAAGTTATCACTAAAGGACTTATAAAACCAGTTCTTAATTTTTTTTAAATTTCAGAATATAGATATAAAATAACTTTGAAATTGCCAAATTAAAGGAATAAGAGATGTAAAATGATTTACTATTAAAGATATCGAACAAGATAAAGAGTTCGGATATATTTCGGAAACAAATACATTTATGAAACAAAAACATATCTGGAGCCAAGAAAGGACAGGCAAATAACACGAAGAACTAGAACTCTGACTGTTCCAATATGGTTCAGTATAAAATAGTCATAGACTAGTAGATAACACTTTTTTCAAACCAACCAGTAGTAAACCACATGGATTATATAGATCATTCATAACTGCTGTTGTAAAATCCTTAATTACCAAAGCATCAAATTCTTGTTATGGGTAAGCAAAACCTAAACAGCAATAATTAAAAATATTACAGGAAATGGAAGCACCAGCAGAAATGGAAATGAAAATCTGATCAAACCGAAGAAATTCCAGTTCCATTAAAAAGAAAGAAATGATAGATTTCTCCAATTTCTCCATTTTAGTAAAATCCTGCACCTTAACTGCATGTTTCTTCTTGCAGAGAGAGAAAAAAAAAAAACTAACTTCAGGAACTGATGATCGGTTAAATACAAAACGATACTGCCTTCTGTTATAACGGGTTACCACAGATCTTGCTGAGATCTAAGATTTCACACAATCACAAAAACTAATCTGCTTATACATTTTGATTCTGGCCAATCAAGCCGTTATTTGCTCCGTATCATCATTAAAATCATCATCCCATATACCAGAATCAATTTTCCTAATCTGACGACTTCACCTTCCAGAAGATTTCGTCTATTCCTTTTGGAAGACTAATTTTACTCTGCAAAACATGATATGATTGATCGCACGAGGAATATTAGTTCTTCCTCTTAACAACTTCCATTGAAAATATTACCGATATTTTGCACATAATCTTGCAAAACAAATGAAAACAAAAGAAAAACATGGAAATGTGGTAAGAAATGATTATTCATTATTTCCCTTCCAACTCTTCAACAACTGACAACTGCAAGAAAAATTGTAAAATGCCAGAATTTCGGGAGACTCTTCGAATCAGTTCAGTTGATCGGACGAGAATGTGGTTTTCTAATTACACAGAGCACTTCTGGAAGATATCTTCCGTTCCTTCCCATATAGGAGAATGTATTGAAAAGTTGGATTCAAGTCACGTAACATTGTATTTCCTTCTTTCAACGCTTCGTCGAAAATGCGTATCATAAATTGATGGAATGGGAACACTGTGCTTGGCATGGTTAATACATTCGCTGCTTTATTCACATCTACAAGTGAGAAGAGAATCAAAAGCAAGCTAATGAAAGTTATCATTCTAAAAATGTTTATGACGATAACTTATGTGATTGATACCGGGAAAAAACAAATCAGGGCTGACTAGAGCCTTTAGAATGCCCTCTTTCGTTTTGTTTCCACATTTAGAATTATTTCAGAGAAGCTCTATCCCTACCGAATGCAAAATCCCAATTCAATAGTGCAATTTCCAGATCATAATCTCGAATTATTCCCAATAACAAATTAAAGCTTGAAACTAAAACAGTATTTAATTTAATCAAACACCTGACTGCTTTATCTCGCTATAATAAACAAATATCTATTGCTGATAAAAACATTCCGACTTCAATGCACAAATCCAAAAAAAGTTCCAACATATTAGAAAGCAATATATAGAATAATTTGCAGAGTGCACCAATGGCCGAACTGCATCGATAAGGAAACTCAACGACTAAACAGTTTCGAAAAAAGTATCCGGACTCGGAACTTTTAAAAATGAACATTTCTTCTAAACTTCACCTGAGACCATTTTATCGAACCATTCAGCAAGGTGACATATCCTTTTCAATTAGCTGACACTTTAAAATGTTTAAGACAGTCAGTGGCAACACACACTTTTATTACGTTCGCGACGAGACGTGAGTCAACCGGGAGTTCTAATTGTTTGAAGTAATCAATAGATAGTACAGCTGGTGGACATTTCTGACAATTTCCAGTAGTATAACTCTAAATTTCTCAGTTACAACGGAGTAGCTTCTTTCATTTTCTAATCGATTGGCTGCATTCTTGGCAAATGGTACTACAATTTCATTCTGCTATTCCTTACCGCTCTTTTAATTAATACTTCTGCATTTGCAATTCAAAATACTGTGATCATGAAGTGTAGGATCCTTCTTTATCCTCTTTACGTCTCGATGTGACGATTGTACGTGACACATTAAGATAGAAATACGAAATACTTTCGTCAAGATATCGTCGAAGCAATGAATTAAAGATGGAAAATAAGCAAAGAAGCGAATCTGAAACAATAATTAAATCTACCTGGCTATGGCTAATGCTTAAAGCACCAGTAGTTTCCTTAGGGGAGGTAAAAGCATAACCCCTTCAGAATTAATTTTATTATTTTATCATTTCCTGAAAAAGGATAATTGAAGTAAAAGATAATTTGCGATCAATTAAAACACAGCTAGGCTTGTTTAAATTTATTATCATCCTTGGTTCAGTCCTATTCCATTCTGCAATTCAGTAAGATATCCATTGAACTTTTTGAGGAAATCATTTAATAAAGATGACAAAAGATCAAAATAGATGATAATTGGAATGGCATATTCTGTGGCTTGAGTGATAAGTCATCCTGATTAGCTTAACTAAAGTAGCTTTTCCGAGTTGGTTTTCTGAAGGACAAATATTATTTCCCTTCTGTTCAAGCCTGCAAATTATCTTTTCACAAAATACGCCTTTCATGTTTCTAACAATTTTTTTCCACATATTAACACAAAGTGCAAATTGAAATTGTGTGAAGCTTTTTCTCGACATTAATTTCTTTTCCATAAATATTGACTTTTTTCTGTAAATCATCGCTGTCAACAGTTGTGAAAAATGAACTTTTGATTAAATGGGATGTTAATAATCCGTTATTTGTCTAGACAAACAGTGATAATCTGCATCTGAAATGTCTTGGAGCAATTTATCAGAAAGCCTTTTAATCCGCGTATTTTCTTACCCTAATGAAGCCATGTACGTTCGAAAACATAGTACTTGCCCTAAAATCCTAGAGCAATTTTATCTTCCCTCGGAAACGAATATCTTGCTAAGGACTTAAAATGAAAAAAAGTTTCCGAAAAGAAGGCTACATATATAAAGGAAGCAGTCATTCTTAGATGAGAAAGATCAGTGATGAGAGGTGCACCTGATTAGTTGTATTCAATATTCACTGATCTTCGAGATTCTAGTAATCTTGATATGGAGCAAGATAAAGAAAATAATCGTCGCAAAGGATGGCTAGTATTTTCTCCAGAATTGAAATGGTCTAGTTGTCACAAGTTGCTTCCTCTTTTTTGTTTTATATACAAGTTTTGAAATCAGCAGCAAGTTTAAATTTTCGATATTTAAATTTTTGATATAAGTATGTTTCTGCGGTATTTAGATGGTCTAAATTTTTTTTAAGAGGTCTTTGCTCATTATTTTCTTCACAAAGGTATTTAACAAAATATTCAACTCTATTTCTATAATGTGTATATTCAAAAAAGGGCTGCTTTTCTGACAGTGCTATTTCATGCTAAACTTATTGAACGTCAGTCTTTCAAGCTTAGTTTGCATAAGGTCAAGGATGACACTTTGCAGTCATATGACTTATATGTAGCTTCAGACAAAGTGTCTCACTACTTTTCATAAAGCGCTTCGGTATATTTAATATACTTTAATGCATTTTAAAGTTAAAAATATTCACCTAATTTTTACAGAACACAAAACAGAAGAAAAAGTAATGTGTGTAATAAATATAAGATCCGACATTTTAAATTAAGTCACGTATTATAGTAAATTTGTAATATTCGAAGACCAGACGGGACATTACTACCTAATCTTTATTGTTTCATAGGATGATATGTGATTCAAGTTACGGATGTTATGTACTGATACAGTTTCATTGCAGTAGTTGATTACATGGAAGGATCAGCAGGTGACAGCAAAATGCAATTAAGCTGAGCCTCAAAGATTCGTAAATTATACTCCATTTTGAAAAGTGTATAGCAAAATGCAAATAAAACTTATTTCTGTAACTTAAACTCCATTATTGTTTCATTAATTGATAAATTCTAAACTACGTGTTAAATATGAATCTAACCATTGCCTATTCTTTTATATGTCCTTGTGCTAGTTATTTGCATTTTTAACTCTATATCTAAATCTCTTTGTTACAAGCAACTTCACGAACTTCTTACATTGTGAAAAACTTTGAACTGATAATTATGCATTATGTGGGATGGTATGGTTAGTCCGATCCAGAGGTACACCAGTGGAAATCATTTTGTCCATATATAAAATATATTTCAATAAAAGCTAAATCAAATGAACTTAAATCATTTGCACTGGACCTAATTGCTTGAAAAAGAAGTTAATTTTATTTTTAAATTTCATTCTTTTGGTTTCAGAATGCTCATTATTTCGTGCAAATTATCACTGTTTTTTCTGCTTTCGAGCATTATCAGAATTAGAACAAAAAATGTGCAAGTTTCGCAGTTTTCCTTCCAGAACTTTACTACCATATCAATGGGAATGTTTGATAACAGAAATGCCAACTTCAGTTATCATTCTGATAAAGAACTGGATCTTCTACAACACACTGCAGACGATGAGGTTGTTCTACAAAGTTGAACATAAATTTTGGAATTTAAAGAAATGTGTTTTAAGAAAAATTTACATAATAAAATGGTGCAGATATTGGAAACAGCGAAAGAACGAATAAAGCTAAAATTGGGGCATATTGGTGCTGCGGGAGCTCTATTACATGAAGATAAAATGTTAAATATATCACTGGAAGATCTCTATGAGAATGGAATAATTGATGAAAGAATTGACATCGAGTTAGACTTTTCTCTTAAATATTTTTTAAAAACCAATTTGCTTGTGTGTTTTTGTCATAGTAGTGTAAGTTATGCAAAACAAAAATTGGGACACGATTTTTAAATGATTTTTGTCGTACGTGGAAATTTGAAGATTGAGGAATTATTTAAAGTTAACTGTAATTTAGTAGGCATTAGAAGATGTTTGGGATTGTTCAATTGTTATTTATTTGAAACATTACGGTGGACAACAGCATTTTGAGGACAATGGAGTTTAATCATGGAATTTAATTTAGTATTTTGGTAAAATTATTTAGTTCAAATCACTTCTAATTTTGAGGGAGAATAATGTTTTACAGAATTTCATCCCGACCGGGATGTGGTTATTCTTTTGAAGGTGCAACAGTTGCAGCTGAAATGTATTATAAACAAGAGATCCGTGCATTCATTGGTCCTTATTGTTCTTCAGGTTTTATTTTATCAATTGATTTAAAATTTTCAATCGATTCACCAATATTTAATTTATTAAATCGCAGTCATTATTAAATAAATCTATTGCCGATGTAACGTCCTCGTTTGATAGGAAAAAAACGGTTGCGGACATTACATTACCGAAATTTATCACCCTAAAAAATAGCCAAAAATCACCCAATTCGTGGTCACCTATTTACTAAGACGAAGGTTGCCGTGGTAGCAAAGTGGAGGTCCAGAGATAATTTGTTATGAATTATTATGGGAGATAACAAATGCTTTCCGAAGACAGGATGTGCTAATATTAGTTTTGATCATTATGATACACTTTTACAGCGCTCACAATGAAAGTATCTGAATGGTAACAAATATTTCAATATAAATATTTAAACATATTATCTCATTCAATACAATTTTTTTGTAGAACTAGATGTAGTTGCAAAAATGGCCGCTTTCTGGAATATACCCGTCATATCGTATACAGCAACCAATGGCTTGATTGATAAGACGATTTATCGAACTTTGGCTAGAGTTTCGTTTACAAATATAAATTCAATTGCTGAAGCTGTAGCTGCTGTTTTAACTCATTACAAATGGTTCAAGGTTAATTTGTTGAGAATTTTAGAATAAAAGGCTAGAAATTTTTCAACTTTTTTTCTTTGGAAAATTATTCATATTACTGTGCAGTTGAAATATGATTTTACATTTAAAATCATATTTCAACATTTAAAATCTGTTTACATTTAAACAGATCCTCTACTTTGAATTAATCTTAATTCCGTAAAAATTTCAGAATTTTTTTTGGAAATATGAATATCGAAAGGTATGATCGTTTTAGTATTTCCAAAAAGATGTTTTAGAAGATGATTCAGTTCCTTTTTTTTTAGAAACGCCAAAATATGAGATCAAAAAATCAAAAAACTATCTGATACTTAAATATCTATCAATAAACCTATTTTTCAATTTCTAGTTTCTGAGTACAGATATATAGCAATGTAACAAAACATTATCTTGTTGTTTCTACAATTATTTTCATCCATGATAAGAGATTTGTATTGAACTTCTTATGAAAATTTCTTTATAGACATATTGAAACGACCATATTTTTCGATATTGGTTCTGTTTGAAAAAATGATTGTATAATTATAAATGTTTAGGTAGCAATAGTAACAAATACTGGAGTTGATGATCGAGTGTTAACTTTGGAACAAGTGCTAGGAAGACGAGGAATAACTGTACTGAACAAAGTGATATTCGAGATGAATTCTACTTCAGAAGAAATGATTGCAAGTGGCCTGATCAATCAACTTCGTAGCAGCGCTAGAAGTATGCTGTTGATTTAGAATATCATGAAATTTTCTTCGTTTTAAAATTATATTTTTGAATTTTTAAAGTGATTATGAACTTTTTTGAATGATTGTCTTACTAACCACAGGATCGCAATGACTGAAGTGTTTTGATCTGTTTTAATGATAATATTGTTTCTCAGATAGAAATTTTACCAACAATTTTATTAATTGTACTATTTGCCGTGATGGTTAAGAAAATGCTAATGGACCAGATATCAAAAAGGAAGTGATAAAGAAAGAATGATGAGTTAAAGATATTAATAAAGCATTTTTACAGTTATCATTTGCTCCTTCTCATCAATGCTTCAAATGAGTAGAGAATTCATGGCCGCAACTTATAATGTCGGCATGCATTCAAACGACTTTGTCTATATATTACCATGGATTCGGGAAGGAAAGAAGGATACTTTACCCTGGCTTGGTACCGCTGGTGAAACTATGCAGAAAGTGAGAGAGCAGTATGAAAATGCTATTATGGTACACATCCTAAATACTTCATGTTTAAGAGAAAAAGAATCGAATTCAGTTGAATTTACTTCTTTACCTATTCTCCCTCACTTGCACTTCATTATTTCTTCTCATTAGTTAGTATCTTATTAACTGCTAGCACCTAGATTAAGTCGAGTAGTGAATTCTAAGATTTACATCCAAACCATTGATGAATTGCAACAGACGATTTAACTTTTATAACAATGATATGATATATCAATTTATCCCTTTTCTAATCATTTTGGCTTGAATGAACTGTTGAACCTTAAAATGTGCAACTAATAATATTATATATTTTTATATTGATGATGCGACTGGTTTTGATGGCGAATATATTACCAAATTTTTAACCAAACTTGAATCAAAAGGACTGTCGCGTAATGTTTTGGATTTGGTAAGCAAAACGAACATTGCACAAATTCATCGAAATGGAAAAATGAATGAATTTTTTGAGACAACACTTGAGTCAATAAAAACTTGTTGCTTATAGTGAGTGTAATCAAGCAAGGCAAACTTTATCCGTTTTGTTAAGATCTGCTGTCATTATTATTTGTGGCGGCTTTAATTAAAGTGAATATTATTCCTGGAGCTAAATATTTGTCTTTTCATAGATGGCTGAGTTCTGAAATCCTGAAAATTTCGGAGATATAATTTATGTAAGAGAAATATCATTAGAAAAATACCACTTGAAATTGTTCTTATCATTTTCAGGATAATATCTATTCCTACTTGCATATATACGACGCATTGCTCCTGTATGCATATGCCATACGAGCACTTTTGAACGAGACGAATGATCCTTCTCTATTCAATAATGGAAAACTTATTTGGAATAAGATGAGACGTTTGAAGTTTGAAGGTTTTGAATGATTTCACTTCCCTTATCAGTAAAGCGACAATCCAAAATTGCTATTTATCTGCAGGAGGTACGACAGGTTCAATTATGATGGATGATTTAGCAGATCGCGTGCCAAATTTGGCAGCTTTCTATGTGCCAGCAAATGGAAACAAAATCTCTAAGATTGTTAACATGAGTTCAAAATTGAGACCAAACTGTGACGGGATACTTAACAAGTTTGGATGCTATGATTTGGTAGGTATCTACTTTTTGAAACGAATGGATAAGGACAAATCTGATGACATTAAAAATTTTTCTGCTGAAACTTCTTTGCTCATCTTTTGCTTTAAATAACAAACTTCCATCAGTCAGTAATCTGTCAATCAGTAAGGAAGAGACATGAAATAATTTTTAAAGCGAAACGAGCATTCTAAATGGATTTAAAATATATTTATATGTTATCTGCAAATCTAAGATCAATTACAGTTGGTGACGGATGTAATAACGGGATTTTGGCCTAGTCATGACGGTCTGTTGCCATTAGATGAACCTATTTGTGGTTTTCATAATGAAAAGTGTTCTTACTTGATCGAAATTATTTTTGGCAGTATACTAATTTCACTTATTACGCTTCTCTTGCTATTTTATTACATTTTTCGATGCTAGTAAGTATAACTCTATTAATCAGACAGAAATCCTAATTTTCTTCGTTTTTTCGAAAGTTTTATTTTAATAAGCTATAATATATCATATTATTTCGTAGCGAATCACACACGCTCCGCAAAATGCCTTGGCGCATATACAAAGATGATATAAAAATACTGGACGAGGAACAATTAAAATCAATGGTAGGGTCTATCCATCAATTTAATGACCTGATACAAAGTACTGACGAGACAAATTTTCGAATTTGAAACAATTAAGCCTTTGTTTTCGATAAATTGTTCATTCCATCATTTTATTAAATGAAATCTTTATTGATTGAGACTGAAATGCATTACTTTCAGTCATACTGTAGTTATTAAATTTAACTGAGTAAACGTAGCTGAACAGTTAGGCGTTAAAAAAAATTAAAAAAGCACTTTCAAACTTTTATTTCAGAAATCAGTGGGAAGTTCGATTACGAAAATGAGTGAATCAAGTATTGGGCAAAAAAAGCATGCACTTGTTGGCGTTAATACTCATGTCACTTATCATTTATATCCACAGCGACGTCCAATAAAATTTGGTCGAGAAGATTTAAAGCTTCTCTCGCAAGTAATTTGTTTCTTTCATAATTTCATGAAACTTTTAATTTTTCTGATTCAATATTTCTGATTTGATATTTACAGATGAAGGCAGCAGTACACGATAATTTAAACACATTTATTGGGATAGTATTTAACCAAGGAGAAAATATGTTTTTAATCTGGAAATTTTGTTCGAGAGGAACCATACAAGTATGACATTCTTGCTTAATTTGATTTCAAAGTAATGCAAGATTTAATAAATCACGAATTAATCATATAGCTAAAAAAATGCAAAATTGTAGCTTCATGCTTTCAGGATATCATATACAATCAAAATATGATTCTAGATGAAAAATTCCACGCAGCGTTTATCCGTGATATTACACAGGTAATGAATTGTTATCTAAGTTAAAATTCCTTTACAGCAGTAATCTTTCCACCAGATCAGAATTTTCGCAAAAATAGATGGACTATGTACATGGACAAGTATCCTCGCAAATATTTTCATCTCAATAACATTTTGTATTTAAAAATCGAGTTTAATTCAGGGTTTGGAATATTTGCACACATCGCCAATTGGCTACCATGGATCGTTGTCACCATGGGCATGTCTGATCGATCGTAATTGGATGGTAAAGTTAACCGATTTCGGGATTGCAAATTCAATCGAACGTTGGGAAAAAAGAGGGTGGATTTCAGTAAACGCACTTATTTCGGATGATGACAAAAGTGGACCTACACAAAGGACATGTAACTTTTTTTTTTTAGAAAATAACACATTGATTAATAGAAATTTCTTGAAATTCGTATTTGGTTAATCAGATCGTGCAAGTATGTAGTTTTCAAATTTTATTATTTATAAATTTAGCTTATTCGCTGAATCATTTAATGCTGACCTACACAAAAGAGATGTTAGACCAAACTTTTTTGTATCCTTTTTTATACTCTTATTTCTTATTAGTTTTACCTTTGTTACGTAGTAAGAGGAACAAGGCCCATTCAATGATATGAGAGCCTTCGATATACAAGAATGAGCACTGGCGCGCCAGAGCTCATTCTGATTGATGGAGAAGGAATGATTTTGATGGATTCTGTTTTTTTGAGTCTGTTTTCTGAGATAATTAACTTCCATTTAAGTCATATAAGTCAGTTTGAAACAAACATCCTTACTTTTGCAGTTATACTTTATTGTTCTCCTGAAATGTTAAAAAATCGAGAACTGAATCGGCGATCTGTAAAGGACCATGATTGGAAAAAGCAATCAAAAGTTCTTCGGCAAGCTGGCGATATTTATTCGTTAGGGATGGTTATGTATGAAATCCTTTTTCGTTCGCTACCTTACCCAGAAAATATGGATATCAACGGTACATGGATAAACCTTCATCAGACCATAATTTTGAAAATCATTTTTCTTTCCCATAATGTCAAATTACTCATTCCATCCTTATTTCATAGCTGAATTTTGTATAATTTTAATTCTATTGAAGTTGCCAGCACTTGCTGCAAAGTTACTTGTTCACTATTCCACTTAGAGTTAGATTCATCTTTAAATTCACTTATGATGCCAACAGGAAGTAATGCAAAACTGAAAATGTTGTCACGGAATTACAGAACTGGTGGATACTATATCAGATGGAAGCAGAACATTTCCACCTCGCATAATGCATTCCCGGAATGTGCATCCTGATCTATGTGCACTTTTGGAGGACTGTTGGTCTGAAAATTTGGAAGTCCGACCGACGATACGACGTGTTCATTTGAACACAAAGAGGATTCTAAAAGTGTCCGTTTTTTTTTCTTTTTCAGCAAAAAGATTATTTAGCAAATGTTTGCTTATGATGTACTGCTTATTATACCATTTCGAGATCTGTTTGATTTTAATTATTGTCAAATGTAAGGAAAGACAGTTTGGTTGACCAAATGATGTCAGTAATGGAGCAGTATGCTACAAATCTGGAGAAGTTAGTTGCTGATCGAACTGCAATGCTTGAAGAAGCAAACACACGAGCCGATAAATTATTGTCACAATTACTTCCGCCGTAAAGTTTTCTGTTATAAATACTCATAGATTCTAATTAGAGTCTCCGTTTTCGTGTAAATCGTTCAAGTTTTCGAAAGATGACTACTTGAAGATATGTTGCAAATGAATTGAAACTTGGTCGCTCTGTTCCACCTAAATTATTTGAAATGGCAACTGTGTTATTTTCGGATATTGTCGGTTTCACAAATATTTGTTCTTCTTCTACACCTTTGGAAGTTGTCACGATGCTAAATGGTTTATATAGTGGCTTTGATGAGTGCATTTGTCGTAGCGGAGCCTATAAGGTTTATTAAAAATATTTATGATATCAAATTACCTTATTGTGAGGGTCAGTTTTTGTTAATGAATTTCCGGATTTTAGGTGGAAACAATTGGTGATGCATACATGGTGGTTTCGGGAATACCTGAAGAAAATGGTGCCAAACACATTCAGTGCATTGCTGATGTTGCATTGGATATGAGAAAAGTTAGTAATTTAAGATTGGAAAAAAAAAAACGAGAGGAATTGTTCTGAAACGATATACCTTTCACCAGCTTTCTGTTGTCAGTGGTCTTTTTGAATTTATTGTTTCTAGAAGTTTGTTTCTTCGTAATCAAACGTAACAGAAATTATCTCCAAGATATATTTTACTAACATTATAGTATCTCAATAGCTATCAAGTACCACATCGCTCAGATAAACTACAATGTCGCTGGGGTTTTCACACTGGTCCTGCAGCTGCCGGGGTCGTAGGACTCACATCACCTCGCTATTGCCTTTTTGGTGACACGGTTTGCTTTATTTTTACTTATTTCTCAAGACGGAGTTACTACAACTAATAAAAGATTGCGGAGATAAAAAGTCAAAAAAGTTTATTTAGGGAGCCAGAAAAAGCTTTACTTTCAAATAAAATTCTGAAAAGAGCGATCGAAAATTTGGTAAACAGCAATTGTGCCCATGTTTTTGTGTTTTATGATTTGATTTGATGAGTACATTGTTGTTGAGGTGAATGAAGCATCTCGAATGGAAAGCACAAGTTTTCCCGGTAAAATACAGATGAGTTCAGATGCGCGAGACTTTCTTATGATTCACTATCCGTTCTATGCATGTCAAGAAAGAGGGAAAGTGGAAATAAAGGTATTTGATATTCAAGCGTTGTTGAAAGTACTCTCCCAAAAATCTGAAAGGAAGTTTGAACATGAGCGGAACAATGAACAATGTGTAAACAATCATAGAATTTTCATAAATCCTAAAAATTATTTCATCAAAATTGTTTCAGGGCAAAGGAGTCTTATTAACTTACTGGTTGGAAAAAAAGTTGGATGATGGATCAACGTCTAGTGATGCAGCAGTGTAATCGATGCTTCTGTCATTGAGCATCGTTTTTTTCTTTTTTTTTGGTGTAAAAAAATGCATATTTAAACGGCCAGAAATTTGAAGATAATATGGAATTCAAAACAATATGTGCAAATTTTTAATAGAATAATTACTGTGAGAAAATACTTGTCTATTATTCGCAATAATCAAACAGCTGCTGATACCTTTCATGTAAACAGCTATTTCTAGATCTCTTAAAAACTAGGACTTCCAAGTACAAAGCTAATTGTTATAATGTGGTAATATGCAACAGCTTATAAATGGTCCTTTTTTTCACGTTACTTTCAATGGTAAAAAAGTGATATTGTCAAGTTGCGTAATAAAATGATACCGTAATGAAATGATACCTTGACATGTTTTGCTGAAGTTTGCGGATTTTTCCTGTAATATAAAGTAAGATAAAATTTATCCTTTATAATTTAAATGGATCAGTTATTGTAGTGAAAAAATAAGTGTCAACTACACATCGTTTATACTTGTAGGTAAAATTACAAGAAAGATCACAGACACAAATTTTTGGGACTTTTATTTTAACATACTTTAGACCGGTGATTTTTCTGGTTACCTGTTTTAATCAATCACTGAGTGGCAAATAACACTCATAACATTTGAATTGCGGAATACTGAATCACTTTTTTAAAAAATGCGTATTCTACGTAATGAAAATCTAAGAGTCGGAAGATGAGAGATTACTTCCTGCAGTATCTTCGTTGATAATATTTAGATGTGAGAGGACCAAATCAACAAATACAGTTATCATTCGGTTATACAACCATCACTACTGACTTATGGTAATGAGAAATCTTTGCCAATCTTTAATTCTCAGAGCAGCTATGGTATTATATGAACAAAGCCTACGGTTCTCATAATTGGGCTTGTTGAGTGTGTCCCTAGCCACTTATGAACTCTCCCTGAACTTATTTCTCTCTTTTTTTTCCACAAACAATCTGGAATAATCCGTTCCGTGGCAGTTTCATTAAGGAAGAAAGCACGCAGAGAAATTGAAAAGTCGAATTTATATCTTGGGCTCTGAGTGAATTGGCCATAATGATCGCAGAATCGTGGAAGCCATCAAGGCAAAACAATGTTATAATGTTACAAATTGCCTAGTCGGTCATAAATTCAGATGTTAAAACTAATGATAAATCAAATTCTAAGGAATGGCAGTGAATTTCAATAGCTTATAGTCCAAATTGAAATCTGAAAAAATATTTTCAGATTTTTCAATTTCTTACACATATATTTCGGATATCTGCACTAATTTCGATTACTATTTTTTAGCAGCTTCTCGGAATACTTCGTCATTAATAAAAAGCAGAAATCCTGCTCAACTGCAAGCTGGGATTTCCAGATTGAGTATCAAATTTATCATTTCTAAATATTCTTTACCGAATTACAAACCAACGGCAAATATTAACAGTTGAAAGGTAAAAATTTAATTTTAATGATTTTTTTGAGTAAACTAAAAAAACAGTAAATTAGTTTTATTAAAGAACTCAATTAATTCCTCTTTTTTTCAGTCAAATACCAATTGTTAGGAACTATTGTATTCTACGGTGTTTTTTTGCATTTTCAAAATCTTTAGCAAAAGTTTAATATTTTCCTCCCACTTATAAGTCGTCTGGAAAAAACAGATTTCTAAAAAAAATTAATTAAAATCATGTAAAACATAATTGCAATTTATATTTAACCAATTTTTGGAAATACCCGTGGAGATAAAACAGCATTAAATTGAACATGAAAGCCATTATTTTTAGCGATAATCCTTACGATTTCTCTGCATATTCCTCTGCATACAAATGATAAGGATGATGCTATATTCCATATTCATGTACATTTCGTTTCTTCTTTTTTTCTAAATTACAGTTAAAACAGATTTCCGAGACATGACCATGTCGTTTCCTCTCATTTAATCTTGCATTTTTTAATTTACTTACCTCGTCTTATTAATAAGGATGATCTACTACGCAATCATTTATGTATGTTGATAGACTAATGGTAAAAATAAATTTGTAAGAATAATTTTACTTGCAGATATCTGTTCACGACAACTTACCGCGTCAAATACGGCACCAGGAATATTAAATTCGTGACGTTAACAAAAAAATGACTTCATTTTGTGATATTTTTGAAAACCAAGCTTGTTATAGTATCCACCGATAACACTGCTCACAACAACACCTGAAACGTTGCTAGCAACAATATTATGGGAATCAATGACATTTTAAAAAGAATAAAACCTAAAATCATTTGGAGAATTTAGATGAGGATGTGACTGAGATCCCATCGACAAATTCAGTTGCATCAATAAACTTGGCTAGGATTCATAGTATTATTAATGAAAAAAGTTACAGTGAACGAGCACAAAAGATTTTTGAAAGTACTGCAGAACGTTTGGTCAAGTATCCCTTCATTTTAACAAAAAGGATCAATGCATTACAAAGACATGTACGTTCGGTTAAACAGGTACCAATGCCAGTTCAAATTTTGTTTTCAAATTATACATTTCGTTTTGTATTATACATAATTTGTTTCTGTCAATTTTGGTTGAAAACAAACATCCGTACTGGGAATATATATCCACTTATAGGTCATTGTGGTTGGTTCAAGAAGCAATGAAATAACAAAATATATGCTATCACTTATTTCGAAGCGTTTTGATTGTATGGGAATTTTGATACCCTTAGATCCTGAAAAAGGTAAGTTGGACGCTGAGAATTTTGAATTTCAAACTTGGGTGTGAAATTTATGAAAAGAAATTTTTTGACGTTATAAATTTTGTGTAGTTTAAGTACTTAAATTATAGGATCTTCTTTTCAAAAAGAAAAGAAAAAATTTTCGAATTCGTAGACTCATGGCTGCCAAATGTAGACGACCATTTAAAACTATTAGCAACCTCGACAGTACTCCCGCTGTCTACATCTGTGAAAATTTCGAGTGCTCGTTGCCATTTAGGTTGGTGAACGAATTGAAAGATAAACTAGACAATAATCATGCCAATTCATGAAATAATTCATACTTTTCTATAACAAAGAATAACAAGGATTGATAATTGAATCCTTGTCATTCTGTGCTTTATTTTTATGTATTTCCATTGCTTTTTATTCCATGCTTCACATGATTTCGTGCAAACAAGAATTCAGTTCAGTTTTTTAAATCGAAGTTTATGTCTTACTGATTAAACGCAACCGGTGTTTTCACTCATTCAACATACTTCAAACAAGACAGGACAGGTTTCTTGCTAAGTACGAAATAGCCTCAGCAATGTGAAATAAGCTTGTTTTAGCATCCTATAAATTCCTCCATTACCAAAGATAATAAATAGTACTTTATGTACAAAATAAAAAGTAGTATTTACATTAAAAAAAAGTTAAAATTTGTCAAGATGAATTAAACGTTGTAAGGCTGAACCTTGGTCATTATATTTTAATGATAAATAAGATTTTAGCGCGGCAAAGATAAACGTTTAATCAGTGTATCCCTGAGAAAATATAGTCGTGTTCTGCACAAAGGGAAGAAAATTGAAAAGTTGTCTTACGATCATGCAATGGCAGATCTGAAAAGCCGTAAAATCAGCTAGTGCGAGGTACATTTAAAAAAGAGCGTTTAGACTGAACTCCGAAGTGGATGTTTTTGATGACGTAAATCAAAGCTGTTCATAGCTACTTTTTACATATTTCACGGATCTTTCTGACAAGTTCAATTTTCAACATAGTGCTGATGGTGCTGCTCAATTGGAACGCTCTATGGTTCAAATATACTGCAGTAGTAACAACATAGGTTGTAAGCTGACAGCTTAATTGCTGCAAATTTGTTCCTTTTTGAAGTTTCGTTCCTAGCTAAATGTATTTATGACAAAATTCAAAAATCATAGTGTTCCTTAGAAATCTAGATGTTCCAAATCTACTTTAAACACGTAATAATTCACTTGTAATATTTTTCATACGAAAGTGAAAAAGAGACATTATGGTCGGTGTCATCTTATTTAAAAATCGTTAAACATTTGTTTAATAATATGGCCATTATTTCTAGTATCACGAAAGTTCTCACAAAACAACTTATCTTTAATCTTAAAGTTATTCCAATAGCTTCACTTACTGCGATCTGCTATTTTCTAGATATTCTCAGACACTTCTAAGTATTCAAATACCCCCCATCTATTAACATAACGGTTGCATAGTAAAGACTTTTGAATTTAACTAATGATTTATGATTTTCTAGGCCATTGCCCTTCTGATTTTTGTATGAAAAATCTGTTTTTTGAAATTCATCTCATTAAAACAGCAAGCAAATTTCAAAAATTGGATTGGAATGTGTTATCGATTTACAGCACGAGTTTTGACTATTGGGCATTCTTTGTTATTATGTCAGCTCAAATATTTGTCCCACTATTAAGAAATCGGTTTTACTTCAAATGAGCTCGAACAATTTGAGAGCAAGGTCAAATGAAAACATGGTCAGTAACTCGAAAAAAAAAACACTTCTTAAATAATCTTAATTTTTTTTTTCACTACAGAACCATTTTAATAATTAAAGGCCGGTAGAACAACATGAATTGAGAATTAAAACAAGAAAAAATCGAATAAACAACAAATGGAAGTGGAGATTGATGAAGTCGGATGTCCACGAAAAATACACGTCAATATGTAAGTATTCTATTTAAACTTCTAATATCCTTGAAAATCACCTTGGAATTCTTCGTGAAATTTTTTAACTAGAAACAATGCTCCTCTAAAACAGTACCATGCTGCCCTTGCAGCCTGCAGGAACTCTTTGAGATAGTTTGCACCTTGAAGAGACTTTACTTCGAGAATTCTAGTTAAAAAATATCCCTGCTATTTCATCTGAATAAAAAGGATTCTTGGCTGGATGATGTAGAACATTCCAGGATTCCATTTTCTATCAAAAACGTGAAGTGGTACGTGTAGCTTTGTTTTAATTAGAGCAGCGCAATAAGTGATATAACGTAAGCTAACGTAAGTTTGACCCCAACCCCAAAGTTCATTCAGCTAATTGGTTAGCAGTTCATTAATTTCTGCCTTTAACCTATTTGACCAATCGAATATTTTGATTATTTATTAATTTCATATAAAGCACAAAAAACCATTCATTCCAGAACCATGCAAACGGGTGAAATATTCACATACATGCTGGGTATATTCGCCATTATTCTAATCATTTCGACGATGCTTTACTATCGATACTGCAAAAAAAGTAAGTCAATTAAGCTTACACCTCAGTGTGAAAAATAAATGAAAAAAAAACTGCAAGAAACGGAATTCATTTAGCCCATGAGATTGTAGAAATTTTCGACTTAAAAACTGAATCATACTTTCGAACCTTTGAGAACTTCCGCTAAATTCATCCCTTTCGATATAAATGAAACCCTTATTCATTTAAAGTTTGAAAGTGCACCATATCAAAATGCAACATTGATGTGGTGCACGCCCACCAGAACAATGCTGCTCAATTCTCAATGATTATCTTTTCTGGAATTCTAGGGTCCACAAACTCGTCTTGAGTACAATATTTATATATATATATATATATACAATATTTATATATATATATATATACATATATATATGCACGCACATAAAAAATACAAAATTACAACTGGAAGCAAAAAGATTATAACACTAGAGAAATAATCTTTCGGTCTTCAGCAAATTAAACAAAAAAACAAAAACGATGTTAGCTTCACTTCCTAAAAAATTGCAGTATTTCAAGATCTTTCAGTCTGAACTTGGGAAAAATCCGCCTTTCTCCTATTGATTTAAATTATGAAACCCTTCCAATTTACTTAAACCTCTCAAAAGCTGTAAAATGCTTTTATGGATAAAAGCCCAAACCGATAAAAATTATTTAATGCTTCATTTGAAACTCTTGCTAGTCATTAACAGACTCGATCACAATCATGTAACAAACATCTACATATTATATGATTATACTGTTTAAAGAGAGATACATTAAATTATTAAAACAGTTGCACACACAAAAAAAAAAAAACGCTTTATTCACTGCAATAGTTGAAGAACTAAAACGATTCAGATATTCAAGCCTTTTGCATAATACGTATAGTGTCAAAGTCTTCAAAACTATTTTAAATTTTATCGTTTCAAAACTAAAAGCCTTTCCCGCATTACTAACCAAAACTCAGAAATGACACTTTGTTTCTAACTCATTATACAACTAATTTAGCACGGACAAATAGCGAATATTATATATAGTACATGTTCACGATATTCAGAAAATCCAATAAAGTCGGAGAATATTGTAAACGCAAAACTTCAAAGCCAATATATTTACATAACAAATAATTAAATTATGTAGTGCAAGCAACGCTGCAGATGCCGATTTCATGGTCAAAAAAGTGTAAAAAGAATTAATGCATGGAAATTTAGATTACATACAAAATTATGTATGCATGGAAATCTAGATTTGTGACTTTTTACTTTTTTTTTTTTATGAAATTGACTTTTTTTCTTAAAGCTTACTGTTTACAACATTTGGGATGAAATAAAGGAGAAGTGAACATAATTCCTTCTAGCTGGAAATTCCGAGACATATAAATAGCATATAAAATACAAACACTGGCAAATCATTAAAACACAATATAACAACTACCGTCAATTGTGTGTAAGTAATTTATGATATTAGATAAGGCACTTCCGTAAGTCACTGATTAAGTTGGATTCCGTAGAAAATGGAAAAAAAAAGACCTGGTATTAGCGGAATGGAACAACAATCGATGCCAAGTAATTTATCGTTTAGTGCTTTCTCATACTGAAACATAACAAATATTCAATGAAAACTAGACTTGTAAAACTGCAAACATTACTCAAAAGCTTGCAAATAAAATATGTATTTCGTAGTTTCCCACAAAACTTTCAATATTTAATGATTTCCCTAAGTCACAGCAAATCGTCACGATGCATCACAGATTGTTTGATTCGCATATAAAATCAGCAATCTCCGGTAAAATACGTTCGGCTTCAGCCAGAGTTACTAGAAATGATGCATTGCTGACTAAATCAAGTGATTTGCGCGCAGGCCAAAGACTCCATCTCGAGCTTGTTGTATGTTGCTTATATGAAGAATCGGGTTCACTAAATAAAACGATATATTTAAAACCAATCCAGGTCTTCACTTAATCTTATATTTTATAAATAACGACTCTTTAGGTTATCCTGCTTTGCTTTTCTTCAATACGTGTTAATGACATGTAATTGCTTTTCTTTAATACATGTTAATGGCATGTAACGATTAAGAAGTAAATCTTTGTTTCAAAAAAAGACTAACCTTATATCCTGTATGTACGCAATAAGTGCTCTAGCTGAATTTTCGATCATCAATCTAAACTGTCTTATAAACCCCAAACGAGCGCTTTTTTCAAATGGCAATAAATCCATTCTAATGAGAAAATTTGTAACGCGAGGATCTGCATGGCAATTTCGTAATTCACTGAAATTTAACATCATGGCAAACATTGAAATTATAAATCAATAAGAACTTAAATATCACTAACACTGAGGAGATATAAAAACTACTACAGGTTCAAATGATAATGAGTTTTAATGTAAAGCATTTTTTTGAAAATGACACCGACATTTTCGGTATTATTGGGTCTTTGAAATCAACACCAGTTCTTTTCAGTATCTGCATGATATCGTTCTTTTGTTTGAGAAGCTTTAGTGCACGATGTTTTGGATGTGGAGATGAAGTACATACAATTTGACGATCCAGATCAATCACTGTTAATGGCCAATGTGATTCGGTACCAGCATACATTATTGTGATTAGTTCAATCTAAATTAAAATTGAATGTATAATTTTAATTTTTTTCATTCAAAATTATTCGAAAAACTATTTCTTTAATGATTTCCGCATGGTTTCCGCTTTTGTGGTATTAAGGTTTGATTGAACTATATCAATAAAAAATGAAATACTCTTTGAATAGCCTGGAGGCGAAGATATGGAGAATAAGAAAACTGGAACGGCTTAATACATAACCATTGCCATTCCGGTGCAACAAATAGGTACAACGTCAATAACATCTACAAGTGAAAAATAATATATATATGCCTTTACTATTATTGAAAGTATTAAACCGCAAAGGACCATCCAGAAAGATTATTGAATGAGATAAAAACTATGATTATCTAATCACCATACCAAGAAATATATATGTATAGCCAAGAAATATATATAATAGAAACCAAAAACCAAGAAATATATATGTATAATAGAAAATGAGAGATAAAACATGTCAGAATCCCATACAATTTTTTGAAAGTTATATTAAAAAATCTACTTTGACAACATCAGTCTTCCTGTCACCAACAATAACACAGTGCGACTGCGATAAGAGTACTGCTGTTATTGCTTTCGCCAGAAACGAATTGTTTTGTAGTTTTCCGCTGCCAAAATATGTTTGCCGGAACTGTAAGCAAAACAATAAAATGTGTTGAAAATTTCTGGCTTTCAATTTTGTTTTTTCAACCCATGAAACGCAAGTCTAGAAACTGGTTAAGCTAGTGTAAGATGCAAGCAAAGTAGAATTATGAAAATTTACAGAATTTCCAATTAGAATATATCTGTTAAGAAGTCACACACTAAATCTCTAATAAATTTTAAATGAGCATAACGAAAACAAGTTCGTCCCCGCAATAAGTTGGATCATAATAGGAATGTGGAGAAATTCAAGATTTTAACATACGCTTTTTCCTCAGCGAAGCACTCATTGCAGAATTTTTAAACAGGAAAACAAAAAATGTTACAATTCTTTCTAACCACACAACACAATTTGTACCTGAATATTATAAGTATTTTGTGATAACAACGGGTAAGTTTCACAAACACCAATAACTGACAAAACACTCGATATTTCTTTGGTTGCGTGGCATATAAAATCTTCTTTACTTTCCTATAATTCTCAAAACATCACAGATAAATTCTACCGATCTATTTTACAAGTTTTAAGTATCAACAGGATTTTTGAACATCCTACATGACTTAATGCATTAATCGTTTTAACTGAGAAATAGCAATCAGCTGCAGAAATAGAAAAATAAAATTTTAAAATAAAAACATACTTTTAAATGGGAGATTCGCAAACGCGGTATAATATCCATGAAAGTTTCCTCAAGTGTACGCTGTCTTTCAGCATACCACTCCCACCTACAAAAATTTTCCCTTAGTTATTTTTACCTATATTTCTCTCATCCAAAACGGAATGTAAAACTTATATGAGAAAACAAACACTGCTTTTGGATACTTTGTAGTTGTTTTATTAAAAACAAAAATTCTGCTGCATATAACTCTCAGAGAAAATATAAAAAGTTCTTTTATCAAAAAAAAAAAGGATATTAATTTTGCACATAACACTCAAACGTAAGCAATCATAAAAAATGTAAATCGCTACAAAGTTAAAATTATCCAATATAACAAAATACTAAATACAACTTCAACTGTTACAAATACAAAAAAGACGAAAAATAGTGGCAAACTAACTTTGAGTAATCCCCAAGAAGTGAAATTGCACACATCGCACGATCGTGAAGGGAACCACCATTCACTTGAAATAAGTATGAACCAACAAAAAGATGACGCTTCGGCAGCAAAGTCAACTTATGTATCAGCGGATTTGACGGCATCGGTGTGCTGAAAGGATTTCATTCTACTGCATATAACTTTCAGAAAAGTAATTAGTAATTAGAAGTTTTCCAGTTGTTATCTCTTTAGCAGATATGGTGTACCGAAGTGCAGGAAATCTGGTAAAGCAATAGCCATATGAGTTTACCAAAAGTTGAAATCCTGACAAACTCAGCCTAGCAAATTCTTAATGTCTGCTCTTTAAATATGAGAATGGTTCGATTCCATGATCGCTATGAACACGGCAGATGAACTAAGTATCAAACCTGCAAATCTGTTCAGCAAGAACGAATTTAGCAACATATTCCTCGTCAGAAAGCTGAACTGTACTATTCTCTCCAACCAAACCACACAGAGTCTCATAATCAGCTTGTCCAACGCAGTGAACATTTCGCTCCTTTCCAGTACAGTTTTCGGTTGCCTAACAATTAACTGTAGACATCAATTTCTTGAAACCATTATGTTTCTACTTCACAATCGTAGCACAAAATGCATGAGCAAGACAACTGTTAAGTCATTTGATTGGAAATATTAGGAAAACAAAGTTACAATTTTTTAAGCATAAATTATTTCACTTCTCATCTTTCATGGATTCACAGTTGACTTGAAAAAATTAGTTTTCGAATCAAAACTAAAAATTAGTCATCTAAGAGTTTGGCCGTTTGTCGCTCATGCTTTTTGTGTAATAGTTTCCTAATAACAACACAATAAATATCTGTATGTATGAAAGACACTATTTTTAACTGAGTAGCTAAGCAAATTTAACGCAAATAAGCTGTACAATCCTTTCAACTCAGCAATTGAAGAAAAATCATCCCTTATTATCCGTTATGAAATGATTATGACTAACAGTAAAAGATTTTTGTGTGACTTCTTCATTTAGCTTGACATTTAATATTTCTTTCGCATGTGAACCGCCCATCACACTCAGTTCACTATATATCGATACAGTGCCTACTATACCCGAATCGACACCAGACGAAACCATTCCTGAAATTTAGCAGTTAAATGATCCTTTAAAAAAACCAAAAAAGTTATAGCATTTACTGAAGAACAAATCTTCTGAAAAAAAAATTATTCCTTACTATCGTTATGATATTCTTGAATACCTTGTAAATCTTCACTATTTTTTGCAGACGTCTCATCAAGCACCAGTAAATCCCCAACTGCATTCACTGGACTCACTTCGACAACTTCTTCCTGACTTAACGATGATAAATTCATGTTAAAAAATACTGAACCTAACAATAAAATTAGCATGTATTAGCTACTGAAATTGATAAATTAGTTGCATTTGGTCTTGAACTAACAAAGAGAATATAAATCAAGCAACTGGAAGAATACCTTATGAATGTTGCTGTCCTTATCACTATTTGTTGAACTGTCAAGGTCGCCACTTCTTGACGCAGAAGTCAAACTTGCCTAAAATAATTAAAATAACATAATAGTAGAATTCAGTACCAACTCTGAGCACTTTTACATTTAATCCATATTACTGCGTGTTCTTGCTTTTGATTATGAATACAATATTCAATAACAGGTCTAAGAAAGAGAGAATTCAGATACTACATGTTTCATACAATCGTTATCACTAGCAGCTATTGTAATGGTCCCATCAATAGTTGAACGACTTTCAGTCATGAATTCATCCAAATATAACCGCTCATCACTGCATATAAGCATATTCATTTTAAAAACATCTTGATGCAGTTCAGAAATTTGCTGAAAACAAAGAAAAAAAGATGTCGAAAGTTAGAACGAATAAGCTAATCAATTCAAAAATGACTACGTGAAAGAATGTTAAATGAGGTACAGAGCACCACAAATGAAAGAACTATCGAAAGCTAACATCACAATGATAACAAACAAAATCTCCACTGGTGTCAGAACACATGGCACATATCTGCATATCGGATATTGTTTCTGACAGTAACTTACTCTGAAACTACCACACATTTCACATATTATGATAATCGACTTTCTTTTTTACTCAGAAAAATTTCGAAAAGAACTGACAAGCTATTTCAGTACTGAGTCTGACAAGTTACAAGACAGTAAACAAATTACCCTATAGACATCATCAATTTCTTCATAATCAGCACTACTGCCACAACCTTTAGTTATGGAAGAAGCGAGACTCGAATCATCACGTGAACTATCTGACAGTGAAGTTTTGCCGCTCGATGTAGGTTCGCTCGTAGCAGTAACTGTTTCCCACGTGAAACCCAATTCAGGTCCGGTCATATAATCAAATGATGACCATATCACCTTTCGAATGGCACACGGATGACAGACTGGCAGTTGAATTTTGCGTGATGAATCCTGAAATCTAATAATACTAGTCGTAAGCAATTCAGGATAAGAGAGACAATAAGACTTTGTAATTAACTGCCCACCTCGATGGCTTCATAGATTTGAAGAAATCTATCTGCTTCAACAGCTTCCGAAACCATTTCCACCATTGTTAGCGCCCCGTCGCAGAAGGAGCAATCCACCAAGCCACATCTATAGCAGAACAGTAACAGCCTTCCATTCCCATTCGCTGACCACGATAGGAAGGACACAATGAAAACAATCACTCCTACGCCATTTTTCACGTTTTATGGTCAAGAAAGTTTTTTCCAAGCGTTTCAAAATTGGCAATAAATACAAGACGAATTCCACTTTTAACCTCATCCCCTTTCTCTGATTAATAGAAAAGAAAAGCTGGAAGCCTGCAAAGTGAATAACAATGCAAATAGATTTACTTTCTATATTTCGTCACTTCTTTCTTTGATCGACCTTAGCAATGAAGTTGAAAAAGTTTCATGTCGTCCTATAGAAGAAGAAACCATTAACCCAAAAAATTTAGATTCTCTTAAAATCGAAATCAAACAATTCAGTAAAGTTTTTGTAATAAATTCTTTTTTAATTTACCTTTAAATGGTTTTAACAATGAAGTTCTTTTCGACAGATTGGTAGAATTGATCAGTAAAGAACAGTAAAGAATTAAGCTTATGACAATAAGATTCCATTTACTATATGATTTCTTTTTTTAGTTTCAAATAAGGCTAGCAAAAATTTGTGATTTTCGTGTGGAAAATTGAAAATCGAAGACTGCCTCATCATTTTTGGTGTAATTCTGCAAAATAAAAGGAAAAGTGGTTGGAAAAACTTTAAAAATGTATCAAAGCAAAACTTCTAACTAGCTTTTTTAAAAGCACATAAAATAATTGTTCATGTTATCTTTTATAAAATTTTAATGAAGCTAAGAAACCATGTTTGGAAATATAACTTGTTTCCTAAAATTAAATTTTCTGGAGTCAGAATTATGCTATGTTAACCCCAATGCAGAAAACATTCATCAAAATTGGTAACTGATAAAATACAGAACAAATGAGCAAAACAATAGTCATTATTTGCGATCGGTAAACTGCTATGAACAGTCAAATATCCAGAAGAAGGATAATCTTGTTGACAGGTTGGATACAAAAATAAGTAATCTCTTCTGTTTGAGAAGGACCATTCGGCACATATTTCATTAAAAAGGGAAAGAATACCACTGATTTCAGCTGTTCAGTTGTTCTTGTATACAACATATGCACTTTCTAGCTGTTAACTAGCGTTTTTAAAATCTTTGCATAACTTTTTTTATATTAATAAAACATCTATATTTTTATACTTTTTATATTAAAAATTTAGCAACTTGTTTTTATTAACATCTTGGCTTACAATGTTTGTTTTGTGAGGCATTTTGTGATAAAATTGCTTTGGCTCAGTAATGAATTAGTAATATTCTTCACTTGGTTGGAATAAGTTCAGTATTGAAATTTCAAGCTAGTTAGTCATGCATTTTACGGAAAAAAACGTCTTCTAAAAGCAGCTTATTCTAGGACTTTATGAACGGCGGTATAACAAATAGCTACAAAATTCAAAATGTGAAAGAAATTATGAGTTCCTGAAAATTGAGACAAGCATACAAATTAAAAGCACGCTAACTGGTAATAATAATCGATATGGAACTGTGTACAACGATAAAGTTTTAATAGAAGATATGAAAATGTTTGCATAATAGGATGTTTTCTTCTTGAATCACTGGCATAAAAAGCACAGCTTGAGTAAACAAAGAATGGGTGCCATTTAATAATGGATGTTCATCAGTCCAAATTACTCATTTTTTACTTTTTTGGTTTCTTTCTTGACGTTTCCGCGCAATAAGATCGTCATATTCCTTGATCAACGATATTATCTCTGGACTTTTAATTAACAGATCCTCTGCCAGCAGAATCTCGATGACCATCCGATAGATAAATAAATACTGCTAAAATATCGCTACAAATAAGAAAAGCAATCAGGTATCTATTTATTTTGGATTTATGTTGTTCTAGGGTCTTGTCAAAACGCCATGAAAATTTATCCTTTTTGTATATTTTCCATGTTTCAAAGAAACTTTTCAGTTTTATCCGTTTTTGTAGAGTTAATCGGTTACAGCGATAATACCTGATCATTCTGCACCGCATGCATTCGCTGATCACGTAATTCTTTAACAATATCAGGAATTGAAAGATTTTCATTATGTTTAAGACGATCAACTGCCATAAATATGGCTGCAAATGTGCCCGTTCTGAAAATTCGATTTCATTTCAACTTAATTTTGTAAAATTACATTTGGTATACTGAACCATTTGATTCATTATGAGATGAGTTATTGGTAGGTAAAAGTAACGCTGAAAGGTAACTCCATTTACCATTGGTGATAAAAGATAATAATTAAAAAGACAAATGAGTATATACTAAATGAGCAAATAGAAAAGATATATTTTTATTGCAAATGAAAATTTTATAAATTGAACTAAAAGACTAAAGACGAATTCCATCTGCAGACAACAGATAGTGTTAAGAATTCATTAATTTTCTAGCTAACTATACATTCCTGCTTTGCTCGACGAACTATATTTTTTCATTACTTTAAACTGTTTCAGTTAAGCTAAAGATATTAGGATGATGAAAAGTCTACAAAAGTTTAAGATTAATCAATGTCGCAAATTTAATGATTCTCTCATTCTCTTCATAATTCTCCAAGAAGTCTTACGAATACAATGGGGTGGAGCCAATTGGAAAACCGCAATCATTGAAAAGTAGCTAAGCAGTAATTTTTCTATCTTCTGCTAGTATTACTAATACCAATAAAAAAAGTATTGAAGTAGCCAAAAATTTCAAGCAATACCTTATTTCTTACTTTTTCTCAACTCATGTATATTTGATTTTGCATTGTAAAGGGATTTAATCAATTTTAAAAGCTACCTTCCAATTCCGGCACTGCAATGTACAATTATAGGCTTTTTTTCGGAAAATTTGAGAGCAAGCATTCGTATTTCACGACATATCGGTGTTGACTCAGCTACAAAATGATCGGGCCAACCACCATACAATAAGTGTAGCACCTTCGAAATAAATTATATGATTTTGCAGCTTAATTTAAAGTACCTCGAATAGTTAGTATCATGAACTTGACTATGTGAAATTAGAGTCTACGACGGGACATTCAATGGTGTTTATTTTCAATGAAATGGTTTAAAAAGTGGAAAAATAAAAGGATTTGTTCAAATTAACAATTTTTTTAAGTTGGCTTTACAAGTTGGAAATTAATATCGACTTTTACAAATATCAAGTAAGCTGCATGTCTCACAGAAATTTATTATATTTTGTATTAACTTCGTGTTTTTTATCCTTGTAAATAGCTTGTATTTTTGTTCGATAGACTTTTCGAAGTTGTGTCATAGGTGAAGTTTTTTCGATAATTTTAACACGAACGGATCCGTAATCTTTCCACTCCCAATCACTACTCGGGAAATATTCCGCACATTGAGTTTTGCCCTCCTCAGTCCATTGACATAATTGTATTATAACCTGTAATAAACTAAGATAACTGTACAACTTTGCAGAAATAAAAAATAAATGAGATGAAGGACTTCAGAAAAGTCTGTACTACCAAAACCTGTGCTTCTAAATTGCAGAAATGAATTCTGTGCATATTTTACTGACCTTTGAATCTTCTTGTATAACCATACACCAAAAATCTTCAATAGTATTTGGCAGTGGTCCTTGTGCGCAAATGAAATTAATATTTTCGCCAATTTGTACGTATGAAGCATGGTAGTAGTCATCATCTGCTGTTATTTTTTTTTAAATTTCAATATTTTTAAATTCCAGTTTATTTATACCCTGCATGAGATACAATTTTTTCCAAAACAGCGTAAAGTTGCATTGTTTATTTTAATAGAAAAATGATCTCTTACTATTGGGCGTATTCTTGAGTACTACTCTTGTTTTGTCCAGCAGTTTGATATCTTCGAACCTTAATTTTTTGCAAAGCTTGTAAAATTTTGTGAATTTTTTCTACGATTTTTGTAAAAATCAATTGTTCTGAAGAAATTGAGAATGTCTAAAATGAAATTCACCGGTTTTTGTCATAATTTTTGTCAGCTTCCCATGCATTTGTCGTACCAGACGGATTATATGTTCTTATTGTAGTGACGAATTCTCGTCTTATGTTCCTAACACCCATATCAATCACCTGGTCAGCCCATAGCTCATATATTGTCTTTTTTTTCTGTGGTTCGGAATATTTTGCTACCGCTTTACCTGACTTTTCCTAAATTATTTGCAATGGAAATTCAGTAATGAAAATTTCATTGCATTGGATGCTCAGCAAGAAATAACGAAAATGTAATTGGCCGATAGATTTCAACCTTAGATGGACACACAAAGAGGCCACTTTGTAGTGATTGCTAAACTGCTAGAAGTATTATTAGCTCTTTCTTGATAGAAAAAAAAAACTTGCATCAACCTAAAATAAATCTTAGTACATGCTGAAGTAGCAGATTTAATGCTAGAGTAAGATGATAAAATTCGATTGTCTCTTGGAAACGATATTAAAAATGACGCGATGATAGATATTACACATCCTACTTCATATTTGTTAATCTATGTCAATCCTACTGCAAGATCATTAGTGCGACTTACTACTGTTTTGTGAACAAATTTTTTTCCAATAGGAGCTCGAAAGTCGCTTTGAATTGTGCGACGGCGAATGACACCTTTCGATTGTCTCCTTTCATCCACTGAGCACACCATTCTTCCCTTAGTCGTAGTTGGTCGCTAGAGATATCTTACAAATCAGTTCAGAATTTACACCTAATTTCATCTTTCAATTTTTCATTAGACCGATCAACCTCCCCCAAAAAAAAACCCTTCCACTCTCATTCTACATAATCCTCAATTGCCAACAAACCTTTTTTGGCGGCATCTTTTTTCTATCATACGTACCTTAACCGCGTCACGCAAACCCAGTCTATGAAAAATTAAAAATGGCTTCAAATAACAGTTCCATTTCAATTTTTAATGCTCGACAAATTTACATAATATATATTCAATTGGATTGAATTCAAGAAAGAGTAAAAGCGATGCAATAGTTTGCAATCTATCGTATTCAATAATAAGATGTTCTTTAGTAGTTTGCGCTAAATAATTTAACGTTCTCATAAAACAAAAATTATTCGTGGTATTCCTTGAACTTTGAAACGTATTTTCAGTATAGCAATTTATGATTTTGAACTTTAACTGTTTTTTACATTGTTTTTAAGTTTAAAAAATTTACTTCGCTTTTCTTTGCAGTATTACACTTGATAGTAACTTCTTTTTACTAAACTTTTTCAGTCACAACTGCATGAAGTTGTTACTAAGTTAAACCGTTCTATTATATGAAATGTTAACGATAACTTTTTCTGAATTAATTTTTAACAAAAGAGTACTTCATTCCTGAGATTCGTAAAGATAATGAAATTATTCGATTTGAATAATTGCTTTGTTTACTTTTAATGTCATTGGATCTACAAAAGTAATAATAAAAAATGAATTTTATTTTTCGACATAAATGAATAATTGCAAGTATCATAAAGTTCATTCTGAAGTCGACATTCATTTTAAATGTGAAGTAAAACTTTTCAACTTATTCAGTACCAAATATTAGAACTCCTCGGATAGCCTAACTGATTTTTAAACCTTTTTTAATGCCCGTAAAAAGAACAATATGATGATTTTAGGCATAATATAATTTAGAGTTGGTAAAATCTACCGTATTCCTAGTATTATCTCCAAAAAAATTAATGAGAGCAAATTGCAACATATAAAAAGTTGTTGCATATGAAATTAGGCATTTTTAGTTGCGTACAAAAGATGTTATACAGCGCGTTCTTGTGATCTTATCCAGACAATAACGGCAAACGTAATTAACGTAATTCTGCTTCTTGTAGCCGTTGCAGATTTTCTCCTTCCAGAAGGTTGGCAATCCTGAAACAAAAAAGTGTATGTTATTTTAATTTCTGGTTTCATTTTAAATTTGATTTCACTTTCAATTTTGCATGATCGATAATCACTCATTAAAGTTGTTGTACTGGAAATTGAAAATTGTAGTAGAAAATTTGGGTCATAATAACTATTTCCTCAATTTCCAGAAATTTATGCATTTTACTGAAGAAGTTGATTATAATAAGAGTTAATTGAATAAAACAATCTTATGGCTAGCCTCTTCGGAAAAAGAGCCTGGTCGAGTTTATCCTGCCATTTCCCTGAACATTACACATTGCAAAGTTGACGAGTGGATCTCCAACTTTTGTAGAGATTATCCTTTTTCAAAAAGTGAAAATAATACTTACTTCATTCATCTTTAATCGAGTGTCAGATGGAGATGCAAGCAAATCTTTCAGTTTAGGTTGTTCAGCTGACCCCGAAGGTACCTGCTCTTGAGGAGTAAGTGGAAGATTCATTGCTTGTACGCCACTTATTCCACCGAATGCAAATTGCTGTGGCATGGACTATGAAGATTGTTATTAAAAAGAATGTTGAAGTTGTGAGTGAATTAATATATAGCACATATATCATAAACAAACTATTTGATTTGCTTACGTTTGCTAGAAGTTCAACGGGTATTTGTTGATGAACGGACAGTGCGCCCTGAAATGGTTGCACTGGTATCGGTATCACTGCTGCGCTTCTCTAAAACTAAATACTTGGAAAACGAAAAGAGGAAATATTTCGAAAGTTGTGTAGGAAATTATAGAATCTCCATTAAGCTGTTAACGAAAGATATTATGGAAAACTTTTCAATCTCTTTTGCTATTTTATCTTCTTAATTCAATTTATGGAACAAAAAACACTGAGTCTTTCAAATTTTCAAAAAAATGCATCAAAATTGCATATTGGGATAAGTCGACTCTAGAGATCATCAGCGAAAACCTCATCTGGAGATAAAACATTGCCCAGCAAGTTTGTTGGATGGCAAATATTTGCAGATGATAAGTTAAATTCTTCCACATATCCGAGTTTCCGGAGATACTCAATTGCTAGTTTGTCGTCTAGTGGTACTATCACTTCTGCTAGAAAATTTACATACTTGAAGTCAACATTTCTTTATAATACTCTAATCCTTTGTTTGATTTGAGCTCTTTATTAGTTATTTATCCTGGTCAAAAATCTCGCCCATCAATTTCTTTATGCATTCATTTTTCAAGTTTTCATTAAAGCTCCGAGCTTCCAAAGATTGACTCAACATAAAAGCGAAGTTCAATAAAGTTACATATGAAAGCTTCAAGCCTAAAATTAGCTCCAAAATTAAGGATAATAAAATATAGTTTAACTTTGATATATTGCAATACAAAGATCACTTACTCATTTGCCTCTTTCGACGCCGATTTTTTGCTTGAAATATACCTGAAAACAAGAATAATTGAAATAATTAAATCCAAATCTTTGATCACAAATTTCGAATATTTGCAGTGAAGACAGGATTTCTGTAAAACAAGAGAATGGATGGAAAATATCGGAGAAACCCCCGATCCGCGTATTATTGTTGAGGAATCTTTAAAACTTAAGAAACGAAAAAATATATTCATATTTGACTCTTTTTAAATTTATAAAACAGTTAAGAAAATATTTGTGAAACAAAAAAGCTCAACAATTTGACAGGGCTGTAATTAAATAAATTCAAAAATTGCTTTTAAGCACATACAAAATAGAAATTTTGAGACAATTTGAAGGACATATTTAAATTTAAACGGCGAATACTTTGCAATTTTGTGCATAATTTTAAAAACATTATAGATTAGAGCTGAGAATATTTACCTAGAGCAATAGGGCATGGTAAGAGCTGGTTAACTTTTACACTGCATGGGCAATGATCAACAGGCATTACTGGACAAGTTGTTGGAGTTGTTGGACAAGGACATGGGACACATTTCCGTAACGGAAGTACCATTTTTACAGTTTTTGACCTGAACTCTTACTTATTGAAGAGTGTAGTAGGAAAAAATACATTTTGCTATCTTATGTATTTATGATAAGCTTAATAATGTAAAACATATCTGTGAAGAATTAATAGCCTCTGAAGTTTCTATAATTCCAAAGTTTTCATTGCTTATTTTGAGTAAAATTTAAATTTAATATATTCATTAGGATTTTAGAGATGTTTAGGTGAAAGATTCGACTACTCTATTAAAGGTGTAACTGTATTGAGTTTAAAAAATGTGCATGACCTGAGCGCTGTTGTTTGTGTCGTTAATTTCTCATTGCAGATTTCCTGAAAGCATTTAAGTCATCTCTTTCGTGAAACCAACTCTCTTCACACCTTATATGTATTTCGTAGTAAGGTGTCAGAAGAATGTATAAGATGCTCCAGTTACTATAGATGACAAATCTTAATTTTTCACCTCCATCGCAGTGTCATTTTTCCCAGAGCATTTGTTTTTGCAGCAGTGTAGAATTTCGTCAACTTTCTTCTGCAAATGACGCAGTTTTTGAATTAAACCAACTTCCCAATTTTCATTTTTAACAGATGATACTGTCGACTGAATTTGCTAAAATAGTGAAAATGTGAAGGAATTCTTCTTTTTTATAGACTGAATTTTAACAAAAAGAACGAAAAGAAAATGTTTCCATCGTTTTCGAATTTTCAGAGGAATATTTATGCTGTCTTTGACTTAATGTATATTTTTATCAACAGTATAAGAGATGTGCAAAATTATCTATGCAATAATTATTGTTTATTTAAATGTTCTAAATAATAGTGAGCGCAGAAGTGATATTTCCCTTCCTAAGTTTTTCTTTCATTTTCTTATATTTCCAAGAAATAAAGCAAAATTCCTATTAAAGATGTCAACAACTTACTGCCTCACGATAAACTTCTGTTGAGCTATTGACTGACTTTAAATTTGGAGCTGAAACGAATTAACTTGGCAGTAGTGAGTCGTTGATATAGACAAAAATTACTGTTTCAAATTTTTGAAAGAAATTAGTTCATTGCTTTGGTTTTTCAAGGCTTTCTTAATTTAATAGTTTGAAAATGAAGCAATGAAACATTGAATTTAAAAAAATTACAGATTGTCCTAAGTCGTTCACTAGCACTAGTTTCATGTAGTATAAAAACGTTTTGTAGCAATAGTACGATCAGCGTGACAATTCGGCTCATCCCTGTAATTTAAAATTTAATTTCAATTGAAAAACGTGAAAACGAAACAATTAGCTTTTAATAGCTGAGGATTTAAAAATTAGAATTTCTTAGAAGTTAGCTTCCAAAAATAAATTAACATCAGCTCACGAAAATTCAGCAAGAATTTTTGACGGCATAAATTAAACAAAAAAAGATTCGTGAAATATTTATTATTTTTTTTATAAGTTGAATGGAATGACTTTTTTCATTGATAGGAAATAAATAGCCTGGACAAATATTCCAGAAATTGCAAAATAGGAGATGAGATGTAAGCATTGGTAATTATCAAGGTCAAAAAGTAAAACTTAAATGATGGTATTTTGAAATATCAAATTCTAAAAAGGAAATAGTCTTGCTGAGCACCGTAATGTTGGTAGGAATAGTATGGTACTGCCAGAAACTAAGAAGAGTGAAGCAAAGTATAAATAGGAAGTAAAGGAACCAAAATGGCGTTTATTGTAAAATGATGAATATGAAATGAGCCATCCTTTACACAACTGTTACTATTTCACCTTTTTTCGCTTCTATTTTAGAAAAATTTGTATTATATTTTCGTTACAAACTGAGTGTTGGCAATTGTATTTATTTCAAAGAATGATAGTTCGTACACGTAAGTGACCACCCAAAAATTCACCATCTTGTCACTGTATAAAATTTTTGCAAAAAAAAGTTTGAGGGCACAAAATGCACAAATATACATGAAAATATTGTAGACCGCGTTTTGTAGTTCGTTTATTTTTTGCTATTAACTTACAAGTGCACTTAGTTGCCATAACTAAGATTTTTCGATTATTTTGCAATTTTATCATAAAATAATGAATTATTGAAATCTTAGGGCGGTTTTCTACTTTACGTACAAATTTTTGGTCAGTTTTTATGGGAGGACCTAGAAAAACTTTTGTGAATCAACTAAGGGTGAGTATTTTTCTAGAAGCGGTAAATAATTTGCTAGACATACTGCCGAAAACACTGTGAGAAGATATATATTAAGCTATGCATTTTCGGGATAAACTTGAGACTAATCTGAAGTTATGTCATAACTGTGAAAGGAACATACTTCACAGACCTAAACAAATATGTTTTAAAACTACCCGACTTTTACACTGCAATCAAAAACTGGCGAAAATAAAATGTCAGTGGTTTTGATTTCAATTCCAGGGAAATAAACACATGAAAGTTGAGAGTCCATGAGCTAAAAATTCCATAAACAGAAAATAATGTTCGGAATTGATCTTCAAATTTTCAGATCTATTTAATAATTTCATCTAGCTCTTTATTTAGTGTTGATTTCCACCGAGGGAAAAAATTGCACTTCGTTTCGAAATGAAGAATCGAATATTTTCTTGATGGTAATTTATTGTGTGAGTTTATGGCAGCAAGAAAAAAGGGGAAAAAGTGCGGATGTTGCGATCGCACAAAAAAAGCATTCCCGAAATCGTTATCTTACCAATTTCTTTCTCTTTCATTCGCATAGATTTTCTTAAGAAAGCAAAAACCATTTTTCTTTTCTTTTTTCTTCTTGCATTACCAAACACATTTTATAAGTCCATTTTTTTTTACTTTTAATCTGATTTTGCTTCATTTTCGTAACAGTTTTACCATACAAATCTCATTTTATCTTTGAATTCAAGAATTTGAGAATGAGAAATGATCAGGAAGAGATGAAAAAAGTCGCTGTGTTATATCACCTTTATGCTTCCTTACCTTTTCCTTCTTCATATTTTTATTACTGTTCGCTCTTATTGCTAGAATGTTTTCTATTCTTTTTTTTTATTTTTTATTCTTTTTAAATATGATTTAATAGTTAATTCAAAAAAAAAAACTCAATCGCCCGATGCATTCATTATTATCATTCGTTGAAAATTTTGCTCTTCCTGATATTTTTGCAAAGTTTTTGGGCGATCATTTCTGTATCACCATCTAAGTTGAACTTTTTTTACGAAAGAATTCTTTTTTAAGAAAAAGTTTATCTTTTTGATAAAGCAGCTACGAAAATGCATATTTTGCAGCAAAAAGAAAAATAATTTCAGTTTCTTAAAATTGCAAAGCTTCAAATTGAGAACTTTAAGGATAAATAAACAACTTAGTCATTTGACTCATATTACAAATATTCCTTGTTAAAATTTGGCCACTTTGTTTTCATAATTTTGTGCAAATTCCATAACTTCAAACCTGTCAGGATTTATTACTATGATAATAATTATAGTTTTGAGAGAGCTATCGAATATGAAATACATTATACCTAAATTTCATTGTAAAAATATCACTGCTATATCATTCCACTCTCTATAACATTCGAAGTATTTGGGCAAATTTGAAGGTCAATCAGACTGATTAATTTTTATTTTTCATTTTCTTCAGTCTTACAGATCCTCCAGAAATTTTAGTTGATTAAAAAAGTCTTGTTTTCACAGTATATGCAAGCGACACATTGAAGAAAACTTATATTTTGGTGTTAAATGTGATTTCTTTTTTTTTTTGCTACTAAACCGAATAAAATATTAGACACGAGGATATATTATATACTATCTAAAGAGCTAATCAAGCAACGAAAATTCAATTCTATTCTACCAAAAAAGGGATTTTTGTGAAAAATGTTCTTCTTTATCAGTGCAATTCTTGCGAAACAAACACTCACCGCCAATGCAGTCGTGATAAATGCCTCCTTAGCAAGTCTAAACCGCCAAATTGAAAATGCTAATTAGACGAGCAGCAATTACCGTAGCCATCTTTCAATAACAATGAGGATTCTTTGCAGTCTTCATTTTTTAGCTGAAAAAAAGATGGATGTCTAGGGCAATATGAAGAGAGTGTTTGGATTGCTAGTAAGAGAAATGTGACTCACAGAGTTCACCGTGACATCGATAAGCTAATTTAGCATTTGTAGTGGAAATGTTCAGGTGCTCCTTTGTCTCGTTCCTTGTTACCTCCAAAACAGTTGTGCAGTTACTACGAGATTGCTCGAAATTGGGATAGATTATTAGTGAATATTGAGTGGTATGCAATATTGATTATTTGCAAAGATTGACAAAGAATGGAACTGTGTTCGAACAAAGATTTCCCTGGAACATTTCACCACTTTGTCATTACATTGCGACGTGTTCTGACTATGGATTGTTGATACGCTTTGTCTAACGTACTAACACGCAAAACCTTATGAACGAAGCAATTTCATCCTTTCATAATGATTCTGAAAATATTATTTTTTTAAAATTAATTCCAATTAATCTTATTTCACTTGACGCAATATAAAAAGGATAAATGTCAGCTGATCTTGTCATTTAATGTTCTCTTTCCTACTAATTTAATATATGCTAATCTGGAGCTCAATCTAATGAAAAAATAAAGAACAAATATGCGCTTTTATGTACGTGTGTGTCTTTGCGTACGTCTACGTGTATCGTAATGCAATGATATCTCAGATTATGATTGAAAGCCTGAAGAAAATGATTCTTGGCATTGTTGAATTCAGTTGTACCTTATGTTGACATGTATGAGATGTATAAGTGACTCCGATTTTCGGGAGTCAAAATATAATTGCCACTGAGTTCGAGCCAGCGATTGAAATTCACTCTCTTTTCCTTTCCTATATTCAAATTGGACACAATCGGATGTAATTTAGTCTTGGAAACAGGAAAAACGTTTCTTGGATGAAATTCTCTTCCGACTATATCTTGGACAATTATTTTCTGCTAAAGTTTTGCAGGCTTGCTTTTCATTTCAAGTTGCTTTCAAAAAATTGCTGGATTCTCGATGTTTTCTTCTGAATTTAGAAGACCAAATGGTATTGTTTGGTCATTTTAATACCGAAAAAAATATATGTAAATGAAATTAATGTGATGTTTTAGATTCTTCTCTTTTTGATGTATTTGTCAATTATTCTTCAATTAAATCTGCATGATTACTGTTGTAACTGATTTTGCTGAAGTATTAAGCAACAACTTCATGAACTTGATGTCATTTCAGTCTCTTCAAAAAATCAACCGAATTTCAAGTATTTCATTTCAAAAATTTTCATAAGAGAAGATTCTTAGATGCAGATTCTTTCATAAAATTTGCTCCTCTGGTCATCTTAAATTCATAAGTTAATATTTGAAATAACGTCCTTTGATATAGTACTTCAAGTAGTTTTATAATCTTTACCATACACTTCCTATACTCAACAGCATAATGTTCATCTAACATTCCCACTTATAGTTATAAAATGTTTTCTGCTGTCCACTGAAAAGAGGATCAATTGTACATACTTCAAGTTTCAAATTTTTTACTTTAATTATTTAGTTCAACTTCAACTATTATACCATTATTTCAGTTTTAAATCATCTGTTTTTGGCTTTCCCTCTACTTCGGTACACAAAATAATACCGGAATAATTTTAGTATGTAATTTTAATTTTGAATACGTTCTCAAGATTATATTGGATTGGAGTTATCACTCCAATTTCAAATTTAATCTGTAAGCTTGCACAGTGATGCAATTTAAAAGAGTAAAGCTTTACATACCAATAATTTCTAAGGCATAAAAGCCCCATGTTGTTGTCATGTTATCATCACTTCTAAACAGTAAAAGGAAACTCACCACCTGAAAGTTTAAAGTAATGGACTTTTGAGGAAGAAGGACAGAAAATAGGACAATATCATATTTTTCATAGCGTTCACTAATTATTATTAGTTTAGATGCATTGAATTCCATCCTAGAATTCTGAGCTGTTTTTCATATGTTCCAATATCGCACATAACTTTGCTGTCACTCCATCACTAATTTCACTATGCTAAAATAGATAAAATAAGAACAGCAATTTTATTTTAAGTTTCATTCTATTAGGGTCATAATGCACTTTTTTGAACGATTTGAACTATTTCGATCTTAATTCCATTAAATTTTAAGTTAATCCAAGATGATAGGAATTGGAATTGAAATTTTCGATTTCAGTAATTTGAATATAAAAATTACTTGTTGATTCCTTCAGTCAGGCTCAAGAGGAAAAAAAATCTTAAAAATATTTCTCCTCCATGCCCAGTTAAAAATCTTTTTGACTTTTCAATCTTTTGCTGTCACAATTATCCATATAATTATTCATGCTATTTCCACATAACTAAGTAATAATGGTTGATAAAATGTAAGTATTAGGCAATTTTATTTGGATTTCAAGGTTTTACAGCACTTTTTGGAAATTTTTTAAATAGTGTCTTAACTTCTCCAATAGAAACGAAGACTTTTTCAACAAATAACTAGTAAGGTGTTTTTTTTTTTTGAAAATTAAAAATTGAATTTTGTGTTGCGAACTTGTGAACTAAGTGGAAAACTTGCCTCTGGGAAAAATTCAATAGGAAAAGCATTTTAATGACACCGAGAATGAATACTGCCATTTTATTTCTTACTACTCAAATTTTAATGGAAAACAAAAATGCTTGCAAAAATTATTGCCAAATTCTCGTTTCACTTAGTAAAGAAAAATGCTCGAACTACCATTCTTTCTGACAATTTCTGTTTTTCGTTTATCATATTTAAAATTATTATTGATGACCATGATTATGCCATCCTAGGTTTGCGTCAAATCACGGATAATCTTGCAATTTTACCTGTTACGACAACGGAAATATGCAGAATTCGTTAAATTCTTAAATGTTAAAATCGATGAGCAACAAATCATTTATGTTTAAAGGAGTCAGCTTTATCTAGTGAACGTGATGCATCTGCAAAATTAATCTAATTTGAAGTCCGCCTATGCCTTCTAATAACATAAATTATTCATTGTACTAATCCGACTTGCAAGTATCATTCTAAAAAAAATCAAGTTTTTTCCTTTGTAAAATTCATATTTGTAAGAACACTAAAATAATGGAGATATGACAATAGGGAAAATGCAGTCAGTGAAGAAGTTTTGATCGTTGAATTTGAAATTGTTGAAGCTTTTTTATGTAGAAAGAAAGAGAGAAGATAAAAAGGAAGAAAGAAAGGAACGGAGAGAAAGAGAGATTCTATGAGAGTCAGCAAAACCACTTCTTGTATGCCAGAAGACCTTTAAAAAATGAGTATATTTACTGGCCAAATTAGTTGACACATATAGTAACGAATCTGAAAATAAAAATATGACTAATGGATGAACCGTTACATCTTCAGTACAGCAGCGGGAAAGTAGATGATGAAAAGAGATGGCTGCAAGCTGACATTCTATGGAAATGAAGGTAAACAAAGAGTGGACACAGATAACAAAATGAAATGAAATAGAGTTAACAATATTTTTTTGAAGGTAATTTTCTTTTGTCTGTGAATTCATATTACTCCGAAGGTGTGAAAAGTTGTAAGCGATGAAACAAACTAATGTAAGTGAACGAGAAGGTCAGGAATAGAATGACTGCTAACAATGATTTGGCGAGATTGCATGACGCAATTGAAGATTACTTTCATTTCTCATGAAAGAGTAATGTATGCGAGATTTTCGTGTGGACGTCATACAGAGGAGGTGAAGATCAAATTTTTAGAAGCGTAAGCATCA